ACATGGGCTGGGCGGCCGTTTCCAAGGGCTTGGACGCGACCGTACACGATGACGCTGCCGTACCGCTGTTCGACAAGGCCAAGGACTCCTTCCGCGATGTCGCCTGCACGGGTCTGGCCAGCTGGGGACAAACCCACCAGCTGCTGGGGCAGAGGATGCTGGAGGCCGCGGCGCGTGCAGGAAAAGACCTGGAGGGGGTTCGATCCGGAGTTCTGTCGGAGTTTAGCGAGGCGGAGCGGCGTTACCGCGAAGCGCTGGGTTACAACCCAGATTTTTTCGATGCGGTTTGCAACATGAGTCAGTTGGAGTTTGAACGGTGCAAGTTGGCCGCCGGGCTGATGGCGGCGCCGCCGACAGCGGCACCTGAGAAGGCGGAGCAAGAACAGCCGAATAGCGGGTAAGGGGGCGAGGGGGAACGAGGTGACGGGGAAACACATTCAGGCGGAAGCGAGGAGGGGCTAAGTGCCGCCGCCTCCTAAGTTTGGAAATGCCCAGGGGGGGAAGGGGGGGGAGGAGAGATCGAAAGTGAACGGGTGAATGGGTTCGTGAAGGGGGGGAGGGGTCTGTTTTTAAGTTGCGTGATTGTGATAAGAGAGAAAGGGTGGTGGCGGTGCTCGGTTTCGACGTTTTGGATTTTGTGATGCTGCGTTGAAGTATTTGTTGCCGGTGTTGTGTTGTGGTTTGTGGGGGAGTGGGGGTTGGTTTGAAACGGAGTAAGGGAGTGCGCGGAGTGGCTGTGATTCATTTTTGGGCTATGTCTGATGTGCGTGTATGTGTATGTGGGGGCGGGGGGAAGAGAGGAGGAGAGGGGGGCGACGTGTGGTGTGGTGTGTTTTCCACCGGTTGCTCTGCTGTTGCTCTCCCGCCGCAACCACCGTCACGCCCACCAACGACCCACATTTCCCCCCCCCCTTCGTAACCCGGACGGACCGCGACCGTCGACCGTCGAACAGCGCTGATGGAGAAGCGGCGGCGGCGGCGGCGGCAGCTCCGTCCGCGGACGGCGCTGCTGCTACAGCAGCGGCCAGCTCCTCGTCGACGACGACGGCGGCGGAGGGTACGGCAGCGGATGCCGCCAACGCCGCCACACGCGCCGCCCTGTCGGTGCTGAAGGCCGAGGCGGTGGCGGGCGCCCGGGGAGGCTTCGAGAAGGCTCTGGAGTGGGCGGAAAAGGCGGTGGCTCTGGCGCCAGCTATGGACGCAAGACAGAAGGAAGCGCAGGCGAAGGTGCGAGTTTCTTACATGGCTTGTACATATTATGTATGTATGTGTGTTTTGTTGCGTTGTTACGTGTTATTGACCATTGGAGCCGCACAGCCCCCTGCTTAGCTCCCTGCTAACCACCTCCTCTACCCCTCCCCCCCCCCCCGCCCCCCCCCGTCTATCTCTGGTATCACCATCCCTCCTCTGTGGCTAGTCTTCTCCATGTCCTCCCCACGAAAGTTCATTCCGTGTTTCCGTGCGTTTCATTTCCCCCCTCCCTCTCCCCTTCCTCTCCTCCCCCCCCCCTCTGGATTGCTTGAAGGCTGCCGAAGCCGGTCAGCCACAGGCTCCCCCGCAGCAGCCGGGGCAGCAGGAGTACGACTTCCGGTCGCAGGCGCTCGTGCTGAAAGGCAATTTCATCTACGAGTGGAGCCAGATGCTGGCGGCGGTGGGCCATGCGGAGGAATGGCGGTCAGAACTGGACAGGGCAGTGGCGCTGTTCCGTGAAGCTGGCTGTCCGGAGAAGGATATTCGGGTGGCGCTCCGAAACCATTTCAAGGTGGGAAAAAAGGGGTTTCGGAGGTTGGTTTCAGAGGGGGCGCTAGAGAAGGGGCTCCGTATGTTGGGGTTTGGGTGTGGGGATCGGAGTCGTGTGTGTGTGGGGGGGGTGGAAGAGGAGGAGAGGGGGTGAAGAGTATGTGGATTATGTGGGCGATGAATGTGATTTGGACGATTTGGAGGTGGATGGGTGGATGGATGGATGGGATGGGGGTTTGGTGGAGAGGAGGAGTGGCTTACGTAACGTCATTCTTCATATGTTCTGTCCTGGTTCTTCCTTGCTCTGTTTTCTGGTGCATAAAATGTAAAGTTCAAATTCGATTTTTTGACCCTAAGTTGAACATCTTTGAGGAATATTCCGATAGCTTGTGGATATGAAAGGGATGTTGGGACAGAAGGAAATCGACGTATGCCGGCTTTGTTCTTATATTGTTTTACATTTACATCGATGTCCCAAGGTAGGGTAGGTGGGGTTCTAAAGGCAAAAAGACAACGGTACGTGTTTCGGACCGTTCGCTTTTCCCTATATGGGTATGATGTTTCTCGTCCGCCCCACTCTTACGACTCCTGGTCGGGTCACATTGGGGGCCCCCTTACATACATACATACATACATACACACATACATACACACATACATACATACACACATACACACACACGCAATGCAGGCGGACGAGCTGGACATCCCTGCCGAGGAGCCGGCCAAGGAGGAGGAGGGAGAGGCAACCGCAACACCTGCTGCTAAGCCCGAGGCTGCCCCGGTGAGTGTACGGCAGTGGGGTATCCGGGGGGGCGAGGTAGTTGGACGAGGTAGTTGCATGAAGATGGTGCACCTAAGAAGAGTACGGCGGCGGGCGGGCGCTGCAAAGGACTGACATGGTGGCGGGGTGGGGGGGATGTCGCAGAGATCGGAGGGGGGAGGCAAACGTGGTGTGTGTGTGTGTGTGTGTGTCGCTACGGTGCCAGCACCGATACGCAAGCCGCTGCTACTGCCACTGCGACTGCTACTGCTGCTTCTGTCATTACTGCCGTTATCAGTGCCGCGCCGCCGCCGCCGCCGCCGCCATGTGGGCCGTGTTGATCTCCTCCACCCCACCCACCTATCTTCTCCTTCCTAAACCTCTGCGCGTGCCTCTGTACGTATGTACGCATGTATGTATGTGCGCATGTAGGTGGAGGAGAAGCCCAAGGCCAAGGGACTCCCGTCCCTGGAGGTCAAGAAGTCCAAAAAGTAAACAACAACAAGAGCAACAAGAACGATGACAGGGTTTTGGGCGGAGGGGAGATACCCGTGGGGTGTGTGGGGACAGAAGCAGCAAATACGAGTTTGAGTATTGCGCCCCTGTGGCAGCACCGCATTCTGCAACTGGGCGACTAGGGAAAGGAAAGGATGGGGCGGCGGATGAGGAGGATGAGGAGGAGGGGCAGGAGGAGGGTGCCGTCATGGGGCCAAACACAAGGCGGGTTTGCGACCGGGCCAAACAGCGGCCAAATCCCCCGGGGGGGGGGAGCGGGTGGTGGGCCCCCCTCCCCACAGGGGCCCCCACCGGGCTGCAAGGGACACTGAGGAGGGCTCTCTCTGTATGTATGTAGTCGGATATGCGAATGTTGGGGATGATGAGGGTGAAGGGTTTCGTGCTTCCCCCGGAATTTCCCTCCTCACCCCCCTCCCGTGGACCGTGGTTCGTCTTTCCCCCCTCCTCCTGTCAGCTGCAATCGCGTGTGGTTCGTCTTTCCCCCGTCTCCCCTGCTTCAATTGTCAGTGATTCATCTTACCCCCCTCGCGCGCCGTGCTGTGGACCCCGCATTCCCAATGCCGTTGCGTGTGCGCATGTATGTGTGTTTTTGTACGCGCGAATGAGTCGAAGGGGGGGGGAGGGAGGTGGGGGGGAAAGGGAGAGGCGCAAGAGCCGTTGCTGGGGTGCTTTTGGCGGCATGTTGTGCTTTAGAGGGGTGAGGGGACGAGAGGAGAGGGGGGGGAGTAGGGGCCGTCGAATCCTTGGTCATGGATGACGGTGACGGGACACAGTCTCTGTCATATGTGTATTTGTGGTGGTTGCTCTCCCTGATCTGACCTGCAGCCGTGAGGCCGGGGGGGGGAGAACAGGGTGCGCAGTGCGGCTGTAGCTGTGGACGCGTCGGATGTGGCACAACTGATGGTGGTTGGCGGTTGGTGGATTTTTCGAAAGCATCAGAAGTGACCTGGCGGTGGCGTCGCAGTGAGGTACCCGTGGCTCTTAAGAAGTGTGTGTGTGTTTGGAGGGGAAATGGAAAAAGGGAGATACGGTTTCACTGATGGGGCTCAGGGGTTGCCGTACTCTGTGGCGACCTGCTTCTGGGACCTTTATGTATGTATGTATGTGTGTTTTGCGTGCGCGCAAGATGAGTGTTTATGTTAATTTGTTTCCTGCGGGACGGGGGAGGACTCTTCCCCCGGACTAGAGCTGGAGCGTGTGGGGGGAGGGAGGGAGGGGCCTAGCAAGCAGGAGGTATGAGCGCGTGTCGTATAAACGCCGTGCAAGGTTGAGACCCTAAGACCCCGCTCCTTCCCGCCACGTTCCTTCCGTACGTGCACCCGCAGCCAACCCCCACACATTTGTCCGTAGGTATGTCTGTTTTACGTAATACATGTATATATGTATGCATGTATGTATGTATGTATTGACAGGGTGTCGAATTTTCGGTTGCGACGTGGGGAACCCCCTTATGATGTGGGAAGGTGGTGGAAAGCCGCAATGGCTTTACGACCGGGGGGGGACTGAGGGCCGTGCGTGTGTGTGTTTGTGTGTGTATAAGTGTGTTGTTCTGTGGTGCCGCCGAGGCAGGTTCCGGAGCACAATTGTACGCGTGTACGTGATAGACGTACGTGCGTGTTTGCGATTTTGTGTGTATCAGTCACCCCGAGGTTGTGGGTGGTGGTGGTTGTGGTGGTTGTCCTGTTAAGGAGAAGCAGGCGGCAATGGTGGGAGGAGGAGGAGGCGATTGCGATGCGGGTACCACGGACGAGGGGTGAAAGGATGTGAGGTGCGGGATGTGTGCTTTTATTTGGGGGGAGGGGAAGTTATATGTGTGGCGCGGCCCAGCACACGTGCAATGCAGGGGTTTGAAAGTACTGCCACAACGGCCGCAGGCCTCAGGCCCGGGGGCGGGGAGGCCGCGGACGGGGGGCTGTGTGTGTATGTGTGTATATGTTTGTGTGTATGTAGCACTTCTGATGGGTTTGATGTCAGTGTGTGTTGAGCGGCGGCGGATATCGCTCCTTTATCGGTATATATCTTTCCATCCTGGTCAGCGAGCCGGGGATGAAGAACTGCCTTGTGGAAGCTGTTCCGTGCGCTCGGTCGGTCGTGTGTTTCTTGCGTTTTGTGAATTGGGTCATGTGCCTGAGGGTGAAGCCAACCGAGCACCTTGAAGCCACCATGTACCAACTGCAACGAACCGCCTCGGATCCTATTAGTGCTGCTTCTCTGCGTTCCTCTCCGGCATGTTTGTTGCAAGGATTGAGAGAATTTTGCTTGCGACACACAGCGGAACGAGCGAAAGTTAATTAGGATCCGGATTTTGCAAAGGGAACAGGGAGCTAACCATCATTGCTAGCCGTACATGCTAGCGGCTGTCGACCAGCCTACCACAGGTGTGTGCCTACACGCAGCAGGGAGCCTCTCCACACGGATTCAAAAGAGGTGCTGCCAACTCAGGTCTCGAAGGGATAATAGTCACCATGGGCCCTGAAACTTTATTAGGCCATGAGCTGTTTTGGGATAGTTGTACAACTGGGATGCTGTCCTGAGGGATTCCGGTACAACATGGCAGTCAACTTTTACGGGCTTGCAGCAGCGTCGAATTTGCTGCATGAATTATCGTCGATCAATTATTTCTTTCTGAAAGCCTTAGTACAAATAAAAAGCTTTAGTTTTGACTGCCGTGATTTCCGATACCAATATTGAGCAAGAATTTGAAAAAGCCGCTGCGATATTTCAATTAGGTTAGGCACACTTTAATCCAGCGATTGGGTCCGAAATGCTTCGCTGGAAGAATGCCACTAACTGTCAGGGTCGGCGGCGTGCCCCGGCGCATGTGCCAAGCGCACCACGGCAACCAGCAAGTACTTTGCAACATTTAAAATCCTCACGGCGCATGCTTGCTGTGCGCACACGCGTGGCCCAGGTCAACGCGCCAGGCAGCCTTAACAACGGTGGTGCACCATCAACATCGGCTCATCCCACGGTTTCGGTCGATGCGTCTTCACCATCCAGTTCCTTGACCGCAAACTTACTACTGCAATGTCCCGACCAAAAGGGCGTTATCGCGGCTGTCAGCCAGGTAAGCCACCGATGTTCAAGGTCTAAGGTGGGGCTGCCAGGTTCAGCGGTTGGAATCGCCGGCGAGGGAAACCACCAGCTCCCTCTGCACGAGCTGCAGCGCGGGCTGGCTTGCCCACAAATCACCCACACGGTGGTCCTCGTAGTAGCCGGACAAATAGCTTGCTGAAGTGACGCGGGACAGGACAATGACAAGGGCCCCGTTGGGCTCCGGTCAGCGCGCAGGAGCCGGCTGTCCAGTAGCCCTACCACCGCGAGCATTAGCACCCTGCACCAAGTTGTATTTACAAGGAGACGGCGAGGGAACTATCGACAGCGATTTCACAACACCAGTATGGCGAGCCCACGGTATTGCCACGGTTTTCGCTTTGCTTGTTCAGAGATTTTTTATATGTGGGTGTGAATGGACCCCGATGTGAATAGGTTCACTTGCCGCGTTTAGATCGCTCTTTCCGGGGTGGCGGCCTTGTCCTCCCGTTTGCCTTGCATAGCACCCTCCTCCCCCCTTTCTCTCTCTCTCTCTCTCTCTCTCTCTCTCTCTCTCTCTCTCTCCAAGACTTGAGAGCTGTGCCACCACTATCCAGGCCCGCTGGCCCACTCCGCCCGCCTTTTCCCCCGCATGAGGGCTGCAGCTGCTGTACGGCTTTGGCTGCAACATCGTTGCCAGTGACCAGGTGCGTCTGTCTGTCCGTTTGTCTGCCCCGGTCCATCTGCCTATCTATCTGTCTGTTTGTCTGCCTGTCTTCCCGGCTCAGTGGTGACATCATTTGGGCCCCTGGCGCGGGAAATGTCGGGGTGGGGGGTGGGGGAAAAGAGGGGAAGAGGACGTCGCGGGAAGACCTGACCCCCATGATGGGAATGATGTCCCCTCCCCATAGTGTCCCCTCCTGTAACACATGGGCACACATACACACACGTGCGCGCGCTCACGTATCCTCGCCACTTCTTTTACTTGAAAAAACACGTACATACATACATACATACATACATACATACATACATACATACATACACACATGTGACGCCACGCCACGTGTCCCTCAACCCTTGTGGTAATGGCCCCATCCAACCCGCCCATCCCGCCCCGTTTCGATCCAGTTTTCGGACCCCAGCTCGTCCATGTTCTTCCAACGCATCACATTCGACTTCTCCGATATAGTCATAGGGCCCGGCAACACGTCCGTACTCGAGCGCGCGATTGCTGAGCTGGCCCTGCGGTACACCATGAAATGGCAGGTGGGTGGTTGTGGGTGGTTAAATAAGTGAATGCAGTTACGGCCCGGGGTCGAGATCCGTTAGCGCGTCCGTCTTACAAACGCATGTCCTGTTTAGGAGCAATCTTGGATGAGTGGATGAACGGAATGTTAAATGGCGGGAGTGTGCTCCCCACTCCCCGGCCCCCCCGAAAGCCGCCCTTGAGCCTAAAGAGGACGGAACGCCGCTGCGCGCTGGTTAAGACGCACACACACACACACATATATATACGTGTTGTCTTTTGTTGCAGATCTCGTACAAGGACAAGATCAAGCGGTTGGCCATCCTGGTGTCGAAACAGGTGAGACAGACAGACAGACAGACAGACAGGCAGACAGACAGACAGGTGGCGGCCCTTGGCATCCCCACGCCAACGGCCCCCTGTCCCGCCCCCGTTTTTTTAGAAACAGCCTGTCACAGATTACATATAGTGTATGTATATATGTACACTTATTCCCGCGCCCCGGTCAGCCCCACCAGCCCTTCCCCGCCTTCTCCTATTAAGGTGGGGGAAGCTTGCCACCGAAACCCCCACCCGAAACTCCCCTCCCTCCCCTCTTTGTCGCATGCATGTAATCCGATCCCCAACCCCCCACGCACCCCCAAAAACACACGCACACGCAGGATCACTGCCTGTACGACTTATTGATTCGTCATCGCTCCGGGGAGCTCCGTTGCGAGATCCCCTTGATCATCTCGAACCATCCAGACCTACAACATGTACGGCAACTGGGAGGGAAGACGAAGCCGGGGAATACGTTCTTTTTGGGTTGCGCTACAACGCGGCGTCGCAATGCGCAATGGAAGGGGAGGAGGCTTTGGGAAGGGGGGAGGTCGATTCCGGTTTCTACGGGAGACAGACAGTGTCATCGGCCCTCGGACAGTATTAGTGCTGCCACCCATGGACTCGTCGCCGCAAAGGAAGACACCACAGCGGGGGGGAGTGGGGAGCTGTTAGAAAACAACGGGGGGCTGTTAGAAAAGTGAGGGGATGCTCGGGGGCATTGTCAGGATTACGGCCGCACAGTAATCGCGCCCGTCCCCCGCGCCCCCGCGCTTCTCTCATGCCCCGCTGCATTTCTCTGGCACCTCATACACCCAGCACACGTCTACCCCTGCCCCAACCGACTTCAACCCCTACCCTTCCTACCCCCCACCCGTCGAAAATTCCCGCAACCGACACCTCCCCCCAAAAAAAACAGATCGCCGACACGTTTGGTGTCCGCTTCCACCATCTGCCGCTCAACAAGGACCCTGGCATCAAGGAAGCCCAGGAAACCGCCATCGAAGATCTCCTGGTTTCGGAGCGGGTGGATGTCATGATCTTGGCTCGTTATATGCAGATCTTCTCTTCGGCTTTCTGCCAGCGGCACTGGCAGCACACCATAAACATTCACCACTCGTTCTTGCCCGCGTTTGAAGGCGCACGGCCGTACCACCGCGCGCATGAGCGCGGTGTCAAGATCATTGGCGCAACGGCACATTTCGCAACTGCGGAGCTGGATGCGGGGCCAATCATCGACCAGGCGGTCACGCGCATTACGCACCGGGACAGGTGTGTCTGTATGTCTGTGTGCGTGTGTGCATACGTGTGGGTTTTTTATTAATCTTTGCATGTGTGCGCGCGCGTGTGTGTGTGTCTGCTTGTGCGTATGTGTGTGTGAAGGTTGCAAGTATCTGACCGGGCCTGACACTGGCCAGGGACTTTGTGTACTGATCTTGTGTAGTAGCTGTTAGTCCGGGGCTATAAGAAGCCCGGGGAGAGCGCGTGAGAGCGCGAGTACGGGAGGTTAAGAGTGTACGTGGCTTGTTGACAGCTACCTGTGGCTGTGTGTTCGTGTGTGTCCAGGTAGTTCGGTCACATTCAGTCGCATGCGCCCTCCTGAACCCGGTTCTCCTCCTCCTTTCCCTCCGCCTCCTCCCCCCCCCCGACCTGTTTTGCAGCGTCGAGGACATGATCCGCAAGGGCCGTGATCTGGAGCGCATGGTGCTGGCCCGGGCGGTGAGGTGGCACCTGGACGACCGGGTGCTGGTCTATAACAACAAGACGGTCGTTTTCGAGGACTGAGCTCTGTAGTGAGGGGTAGTGCTGATGGTGGTGGTGGTGGTGGGTTTGGGGCTCAGGGGGCTTCAGGGAAAGATTGAGAAGGATGAGGAGGAAGAGGAGGAATGCGTGTATAGGCCGTTGAGGTGGGGAGAGGAGGGAGAAATGAAACGAGACAGAGGTCGGCGGCTCGTGGGTTATGCACGCGATGTGTACAAGCGGATTGGGAGAGGAGGAGGAAGAGGAGAAGGTGGAGGAGGAGGTGGAGGGGAAGGAGAAAGACGGTGAGTAATGCTTTGCTGCACAGCGCTGGTTGTCCTACTTCTAGCCGCAAGCATGAACCCCGCTGGTTGGTGGGTTTCAAGCACAGGGGTTTCCTTCGCTCTTAGCCCGCCATCCAATCAATGGGGTGTGTGGTTCCAGGAGAAGTAAGTAGCTCTGGGCTTAGGGCGCTGCTGGAGAGAGCCACGTTGAAAGGTTGGCCACCTGTCAAGTACGCACACCACCATGTAACAATCAGTCCGTCTATCTATCAGTCTGTCAGTCTTTCTGTCAGTCTGTCAACAACGGCCGGAAGTGGTGGAGAGGCATTGTGTGTGATCCGTTCGACGCTGGCGCATCCGGGGCTCACATGCAAGGACAGTACGCAGCCTGAAGAGGACGCGTGGCATATGGCGCGGCGGAAGCGCGGGGATAAGCTAGGGAGGAAGAATAGTCGCGGGAGGTGGAACCACTGCCTCAATGCACTTGCGAGCTGTAACGGCGGAGGGTAGAAAAAAGTGTAATGGTGTTTATGTTGTGGATGTTGTGCAAGGATGGATAGACGGATGGATGCATGGATGGATAAGCCGCGCGCCGGTGCCGTGTGGTGGTGGCTCTGTAAGGAATGGTCAAGGTCGAGGGGAGATGTGCGCTGTTGTGCGGGGACTACTCAAGTTGACTCCAGGGAGGCATTCCAAGGCGGATGGATTGCAGGGTAAATGTTGAGTGTGTTGCACGTGAAAGAGTAAATGGCATGAGGATGGCCCGGGCGCCTTGGGAGCTGCTGGGTGACATAGCTTTTCATGGGCCATGGGTATGTGTCCTCTTGTCTCGGATATGTAAGACCAATTATAATACAAGTCCAATTTTATGCGGGTGAGGCACTTGGGCGATTAGCAAGGATGCGGATTCAATGGTGCATTTAACACATGTTGCATATCATAGGCGGGCCGAGGGGCTTGTTTATTAGGCTTCCCAGAGCGGTGGCCAGGGAGACTATTTGTACCCAGGAGGACAGGGTGGGGGCCGCTGAAGCGCAGCTCTTGCCTTTTGAAGCTCAATGGTTGAAGATTGATGGATGGCAGCCAACGGGGGAGCTGTGTTGGTATCATGAGCGTTTGGTGTTGCCCCCGGGGTTTGCCCGGGGTGCAGAACGGCAACTAGCAGAGGTAACGGGTTTATTGCCGGCAAGGAGGTGCAGTTCCATCACTAGCCTGCCAAGCGCAGGCAGGGTTCTCGGGGCATGGCAGTAACTCACACGGCATCCTCCTGTGTCGTGTTGAGAGGGACTTTTGGATGCTGGCCATATATTATCCATCCTTTGATGTTTTCCTAGCTTCGCATGGTAATAAAGTCAGCTATAGCTCTAGTCCTGCAACATATAGTACGATAAAACAGCGGAATTCTCTTAGTTACACGCATAGCTATTCATCAGCGATTAATGTTGATGCTAATACGCATTGCCATAGGACCAGAGGAAAGGAAAAACATGAAATACGTTGTACGGCGTAAGGCCCTTCTACTGCGACTCGTTTTTGTATACACTCGCTTGAACATGGTGGGCTCTCTCTCTCCTCTATTGGTAAAACGACCCCAAAATGGGAAAGAAGGGCAAGGGTACCGGAAGCTTCGGTAGGTCGAAATTGGTCCGCCGCATTTTGGTTAAAAGCAAGAAGTAGAGGCTTGTTCACAAACGACTGACAACATACGCTCCATGTAAATGTAGGTAAGCGCCGCAACAAGACGCACACGTTGTGCCGTCGTTGCGGTCGCACCAGCTACCACAACCAGAAGCACGTCTGCTCGGCTTGCGGCTACCCGGCAGCCCGCAAGCGGACCTGTAAGTATGGTTGGGCTTGAAGTGAGAAAAGGTTATCTTTGAGCTTTTAAGTTAGCAAAAGCCGCGCCTTGTCGGCGCCGCAGGGCTAATCCTCTAGCTGGCATCATTTCTTATTGTTTCCTGCTATTTATGATCGAAAACCTAACGTTACATCTCTATTGAAATTCTCCAATGGGCGCCGGACCTCTTGATGCTTCGGACCTGCAGACCAGTGGGGGCAGAAAGCCATCGGCCGCAAGACGACCGGTACCGGCCGCATGCGGTACATGAAGACGCTTGCCCGGCGGTTCAAGAACGGCTTCCGCGAGGGTGAGACGTGGCCCCTTACCTCAGGATGTTTCATACTGGGTTCCTGGGGGTGCTCGGGCTAACCTCGTCCCCAACCCCGCTCCCCCTTATCCCGCTCCTTCCAGGATCAGAGGCCAAGCCCAAGGCTTCGACTGCCTAAACATGGGAACAGCGTGTGTCGCTGATATTGTAACAAACGACATGTGCTAGCTGTCTCTCAACTCTGGGCCCTATGGGAGCGAGCGAGCACAATGCACGGGAGCATGGACAGCGGCTCGGAAAGGCTCCGGAAGCTGCTTGTGGGACGCCAGAAGTGGCAGAAGCTCAGAAAGCGCAATATCGCCCATGGTTGCGGATCCAGGAGCAGGGTGGCGCAGCTATGTTGAGCCCGACAAAGTGAAGTGATTCAGTCGCAACATCAGCGTTTGGAGAGCCCTAAGCCTAGTCGTAGTGCTGATTGGCAGCTGTGCAATCTGGGTTTGCAGGCTGATGCATCTCCTGCTTATCCAGCGCACGCTCTTTCGGCAGCGGTTCTCTCCACAGCGAACGTTCAATGTTTTTGGTTTTGTTGCGTTTCCGTTCGTACGGAAATGGACATGGCAGGCGGAGGTGTAATGCGGATTTGGACATCCATGATCCGACTCGTCAGTGCACTATGCAGAACGCTGTGCTGCTATTGCAGGACACCATTGTTATGAGGGGCGACAAAAATCTTAACACCTTAGGCTTACGTAAAATATACAACCAATTCTTTAGTACGATGCTGGATCCGCTATTGCATATAAAGGAAAATTAACTGTTAACGCTCTTATGGAACTAGCTCACGACCCATTTTACTGAATGGACACTTGCGTTTCGATATTGCTGTAGCAGACGATTACACTTTACACATTCTTCAAAAAGAAGTATCGTGGATAACTGCTGTCAGAACATACACTCCCGATTCGAATGGAACACATACGAACATGGTTAAACCTTGTCGCTCTCTCTTCATGTACCCAACAAATTCACGTCTTTAACTTCGAATATCTATCCGGAGCAGCTTGCAACACTCATTGATGGGTATTAACCCTGTTTATTTAGAAATTATATAAGTAACCACCAATAGGTAAACACCAAAAACGACTGACTTGTCGCGGAGGATTAATACTATTTCTGATATGGGTTTTCGTCGTACACCAACCCAAATTCCTCAACCAAACATCATAACGTACATTTATTACTTCGTACCTTACTGTCGAAGTTTAACACTCAGCTCGCATCTATCAGCCCCACAAACCTCATGCTCCTCCTCCTTCTCTTCCGCTTGTCCGCGTGTGTGTCTGAGCCCAGCGCAGGTGCCTTCTAATCCCTTTCCGAAAACATACATGGACGGATGGGCGACATCTGGATGGTTGGGCGGCCGTAACACCCCGGGCACCACGCGTGTCTATTCTCATGTTCACGTGCAAATTTCGACTCTTGAACACTTTTCTCTCGCAAATGTCTTGACTCTTCCCTGCACCCCTCCGTCACTTCCGCTCGAAAGACCCCCTGCCGTTCCACGCCTCTTTGTCCCTACAGCACGCCGCAAACTCTACGGCCCACGCATTGCCAGGCAAAACATCGCGTATAACAAATACACTTAGCCGGCACATGTTGTACTGCATATCCCGATGATGCTGCACTCCTGTCCATCTCGTCGACCTCCCCTCCACCACCGCCGCCTGCACCTTATTGCCCGCCGCGCGGCCGCTCCGCCATCATCTCCTCCAGACTCTTGTAGTAGGCCATGTCGGATTGTGCCTTGCTCAACGCAAAGCCTAGCCGCTCGATCTGTTTGGTTTCTCGTTCAATCGCCGCGTCGATCTCGTTCTTCATCAGCGTCAGGCGCCGCAGGTGCAGCTGAGAGGCGCCCAACGCCGTAGCAATCACCTCCTCCAGGGGGGACATCTCCCTGCGGTGGTAGTGGTGTATGTATGTGTGTGTTACATCTGCTGCTTGTACAAGAAATTAGCGGTCCCGTCCTAACGGACCAAAAGAGGTTCCAACGCGGAAAAGGCTATAAAAGAAGCCAGCCATGAGTGTGTGAGGGGGGTTAGGAGTGAGCGCGGGGGAGCTGTCGCGATTGGAAACCTGCTTCATTCGGTATGCTGACTTGGAAATCGCAACCGCAATCGATATTAAATATATATATACGAGCCGCGTGGGCCTTCGCGCTGTCGAGGGCTGAGAGGACGACGGCTGCGAGGCTCCTTCATACACTTCTACCGCTCCAACCCTTTCTTGAACGCGTCCTCTTCCAGCTGTTGTTGTATTCACTGTCATTACTGTCATTATCCTTTTCCCTTCCTCCCTCCTCCCAATTTCCCTCTCCATTGCCGCATTGTAGCATTACAGCAACCTCCAATGCTGCAATATGAGACGGAACCAATACTGCCTGCAGCACGTGGCAATTATTCGTAGCAGACCACAGCGCGCAGCATCCAGCGGCCAGAACCTCAACCAACTGTAACGCCCTCACGGCAGGTCTTTCCCCCGACCGACCCGCCGTATTTACCTGGGACGGGGTGGCGACGGCACGTACGGCGTCGCCGTGTATTCGTCATCCGACCCCTGCCCGCCGTACGCGTCTAGCTCCGACTGTTGCCGCTCGAGGGACTCTTTAAGTGCGGCACGGAACTGGTCCGTAAAAATAGGCCTGTCGTACACCTCCACTTCGTTCTCGTACGGCTGTGGCTCCGTGACTTCCTCGTCCGCAGATCCTGTGACTGTCAACTGATCCGCGTACAAGGGACTCCGCTGCAGGGCTGATTTCAGGGCTTCCTTAAAGGCATCTGTGAAGAAGCCGCCGCCTGAGGACTCTTCTTCCTCTGCAACATCTTCATCGCGATTTGCAAAGCCAGCGGGTTGGTCCTGACTCGACCGCCACCCGTTGCTGTACCCTACGTCGGCCACCTCCTGATCATCAACGGCTGCGGCCTGGTTCCGCCAGCTCGAGCTCCCCCATGTAAAGTCGGAGTCGGTATCGCTGTCGTGAGCATGATAATAATTCCCGTTGCTGTTGTATGCGATCTGGTATTCATCATCATGTGACACATGGGCGCCGTTACCATTTCCGTTGCTGCCATGCTCAAGTTCTGTCCGCCAAGAGCTCCTCCATGACTCGCTGCGAGGTGAGCTGGAACGCGAAGAATAAGATGCCCTCGGAACGACTAGCAATCTACCCTGGTGCAACTGCAACGGTGTGGCCTGTAGTTTGTAAGCAAACGGATGTGTCGGGTCGCAGTCAGCACGAAAGTGACATCACCGTATCTGTTCCCCAAAGCTGCATTATGCATCAGCTTACCTTCAAGGACAGAGAGCTTGAGCACTGCGTTTGAGGAACAAGCAAGATTGTCCGAGCGAGCATGGTCGCTACCCAGTTGCAAGCCGTAGTGTTGATTCGAGTGGTACCGGTAGCCTGTACAAGTAACGAACACGTTGATGAAGACTCCGTGGCTTCGCGACAAGCGTAACCATACAGTGATAAGAGGTTTCAAGCTGTCGTACAATAAATCCTTTTCGTTGGCTTGCACCTTTTGGACCACTGAGATATTGTGTACCTTTTTAATCGTGCACCGGAGAATATTATTGTATATAGTGACTTTTATATTATCATTATTTTAACGCCGCTTCCTCAGGAAAGCACACGGCCCCGGCTCCGTGAAAGCAACCCCAACTTGAGGTCTCGCACGGGAACTGAGCTCCGCCATGCCCAACTAACACACGAAGAAATGCTTACCATGCAGTGCCGAGATACCTTAAACTGCATGGTACCGTAAGCTGCCGCTGGAGATAGGATCAGGTTTTACAGCACTCAGGGTTAATCAAAGCAGGGACCCCCTGGTTCGAAGCGGATTGCCGACAAATCTCAACGCAACGGCTGCGAGCTGCACCGATATCGCAACGCAGAACATTGGGGCTGTTCCGACCCGAAACACGAAACAAACGTACGCAAAAACTCCGTGATATCGTACTCGGCGAATCAACGTGCCGGCTGCGAACAGGCGATGAAGACTGCAGCACATATACGAGGCATCGCGCATTATGGGTCCCGGCTTGCTGATTTGCAAGACCATTCCTTAACCACCGATCTAAATTGTACGCCAACGTCGAGCAACTGCCGTCCGGTCATGCTGTCGTGCTGCCGGATAGCATGCGCGTATCCCCCGGTGCTCGCGAAGACGTATCTCCTCGCCGTTGCATCGGGGCTTCGAGCATCACAGCAACAATAGGTAGCGGTAGTGGTAATGGTAGTGTGCGCTTGAACTAATGGAAAGCGCTTTACTTAGCAAGTGTCGGTATACCGGGACGACCGGTAGAAACGAAAAGCTCAAGAACTTTATCCATCCCAGAAGGAATACGCGCCGCATAAAACTTTCCTACATTTAAAAGCATTAACCTCTCGCTCCTGACTTGTATTGAGTTAAGGAGTGTTGCCTGCTTGTCCGCGGCCGGATCGTGCAATCTAGCCTCTTTCGCGAAAAAAGAGGAAAAAAGAGAACAAGAGGAAAAATTAGGAAAACAAAATAAAAATGTAGGCTCAGAAATGGAAATCAAAGGAGGGGAGAGGAAGATTAGTCGAGAGCCCAAGGAACGCGCAAACGGAGGAATCACCAAAAAAGGAGCGGGACAGAGACCGCGCCATCGGAGGCTAACGACCGACATCCCAGGGCAGGTGGAGTTTATTCCTCCCCTCCATCGGAAAGAGTGTGCGGGTGGGAGGGCCGGGAGCACAGCTGGCGCGGCCGGGCGGCTGCTTCCCGTTACCAATCGAGCTGGCGTGTGGTAAGTGGGGTAAGGGCTGCTTCGACCCTTCGTTGTCCAACCCGCGCACCCAGCACGCAAGCTAACGAACAGTGGTACATTCTTACATGCTGCCACAGCGGTTTACAAAACTACAAAGGTAACGAAATTCAGTCGGCAATGTGGAGTTTGTTCCTGGATTCGCCCCAGTAACGGTACGACACGTGTAATTTGCGCAGTCATGCAGTACGCAGGGCATCCCAGATACAGTCATCGTGCTCGACTAGCCTGGAGGAACGGAGTCTGGAGGAAAGGTAAAAGTCCTAGTCAACAGGGCCCTTCTAAACAGCAACAACAGGATTTAGAGGACTCCGCACAGCTCCAGCAAAAACCGAATCCAGAGCCCACCTCAGTGAAGTCGCGCTGCGCGTATACAAAGTCCTTCCTTTGAGGATAAAATTCAGTTATTGCAGAGCGTGGCGCGCACGCTGTAGCCCGGCTTAGGAGCTTCACCTCAAGTTGGCTTGAAGAAGGTTGGAGCTTCGTGCGACATGTCCGCTGCAGCAAGCCAGCCCGACTGGTTCGCCAAGAATTGGAAAAAAATGTGCAACAGGACGAAATGAATGAACAAGAACGGTTCCAGGATTATGGCTACAACGCCTGTTCCTGGGGCCTGGCTGACGGCCAAGCTGCGGCCTCCAGGCCAAGACATTGCAAAGACAGGTGTCGATCGAAATCCGGTCCGGAAAACATCAGTTTGTTAAAAAGATATTTTTTGACAACAGGAAATAAATTAAGATGGGACCGGAATGATTAGAAGACACAGGCGAGTCGTTCAACTCCGTTCATGACAGCTCCCGGCCATGGACGAGCGAACTCGAAGTGGCCTCTTCGTTGTTACAGCAGGTAGGATATCTACAGTCGCTACAATTCATAATGCCACCGGTAAAGTCCTGAAGCCAGTTTAAAAAGGGCGCGATACATGGAGATCATAGTCACACCAGACCCGTTCTTTTGTGCGTCCGATATCGTGGCGTGACGTCACGTGAAATTGTCCACCGTCGTAATTGTCAGGGCAACCGTCTAGGTTTACATAGTTCAAAACAAAACGTCATAGAACAACAGAAGCTGTTGCTGGTTTGTCGTGCGCAAGGTCATCGCATAGGTAGCAGGGAACCGCGACGGCGGCCCGTCCATCTCCAACGACATAATGCTCCTCGAGCGGCGTGCAAGGCGCTCGTCCAGGAAATTAGAAACATGCGGCATCATATTGCCTTCCACAAGAACGCTCAAGAAGAATCACCGGATGGAGGCGGATAATCAAGATATGAACTCAATGCCAAGAATTCAATAATTCCCCTTTCCGCGAGCCAGCGCGAGCCGTCGCAAGGCGACGAGGTCGCGTATAGAATAAGCCGGCGGTCAGTCAGCAGCTAAGATTGACACATCTGAGCTCATGACAAAAATGAGGACGGAAGAGCGCTGAGTCCACAGTCCAGCACGTCAGGCGCTTGCTAAAGAATCAAAATCTTTCATAAGACATACCAGCCTCTCAAAAGCCATGACTTGACAATCCTTGCAGGCACATAATTCACAAGCGACAGGGTAGAGGCAGTTGATCAGCAGAGTCCTTCTCTATGCGTAATTCAAACCTTGAGTCCAAATCTGTCCAAAGCGCGCCCGCCTTCCCTAACAATCTCGTCTGGCTGTCCCAACCATTCGATCAAGATGAAGCTAACTAGAACCAACATCATTCGTTTCGCCTTGCAAATTGGCCGGGAGACCCCCATTCGGCGGCAAAAGCGCAATAGCTACACATCAGCTGTGGAAACAGCCAAAGATTCAGCGCAGGCGCAGTCGATGAGAAGGCGCATGCGCCATAAACACGCAGGCCCGCGCACTTTCTTTTGCAGAAATAATTTAATAAGCGATGTAATGGCATGAACAATGGCGCGCCTCCTGGCGCGCGCGCCTGCAACCTTGCAGTCAAGTTGCAACCCCGCGCAACATCCCCGCGCAACATCTTTAATACAGCCTGTAGCTCAGCAACTACGCTGTAAGCGGTGCTTGCAAAAGCCAAAATAATAACGAGGCTTCCAAAACGAGGCTTCCAAAAGACCAGCGCTGCAGCGTTTATCAGCCTTGGACGTCCCACGTTTTCCTGGCTAAACCGTACCACGCCCGAGCTCCACGGACACCACGGACTCAGGGGAAAGATCACAGCACTCAATACACAGCCCCACCTGCGAAATCCCTGCCGCATGCACATGCAGTCTCACTCCACCCTACCTTGCACTGCACAGCCCTGCGCGTGCCGGCTTGGCAGCAGCGGCAACACACGGAGTTTCACTTTTCACTTCCCATCCCGCTCCCCCTGGGACCCCCATCCCTGACCTTTTTCCTTCCACCTCCCGTAATTGCACACCCCTCTGCTTTCCTTCCACCTCGCACTTCAGATTTTCCCTGTGTCCCACCTTCCTAAGCAGTCCGCCGCGAGTGTTAGCGTCACCGCCATCGGTTTCCACTCTCATTGTCCTCCTCCTCCTTCCTAGGGCACCTTCTCCTTCCTAGGTGGTGTAAACATAAGTACAGATTCTCACGCAATCGAATGCATCCAGGGGAAATGAAGCCCCGCCAGCAGTCTCCAGTTCCTTGAAGCCGTCCTTCAACCTGCTCCTCCTCCTCCGCCTCCTCCTCCTCGTCGCCGCCGCCCCAGCTGTGCCACCATCTCCCGACCTCTCCCCGATCCCATTCCTGGCTCCACCCCACTCAAACCTCAGCACAGTCTTATTCTGCTCTGCAAGACGGCTACTTCCTTACTCCCCACTCCCCACTCCACACGGCGCTGCCCCGCTACTACTTCCACCCTCGAGGGCATTTTGTCATGTCATGATCTTCGCAGCACAACATGCCCCCCGCGCTGTTAAAGAAGGAGTTGCTGGTGCCGTCCTTTCGGCGACAATCTTTGCAGGATTTCCGGTCCACCAGTTGCATCTCCTTACCTTGCGTGCACAGCGGCACTGGGTTGACCTCGTCGTCTGGGGGACGGAAGGGAGTTAGTTAGTTAGTTGGTTGGGATTTGGGTGAGGAAGAAAAACCGATGAGGCTGATACGGACAAAATCTTGGCGAGGGAACGGCGTGTGGAATGGACCCTGAAGTAAACCCACCCCCATCCCACCCACTGAAATGCACCGTACGCCGTACGCCGTACACAGTTTTAGTATACACCGCTCACTCACCTAAATCGCAGTTGATAAACTTGCGGAAGCGCTGGTCCACCTTTTGGTACTTTTCCGGGGGCACATCGGGGTGCTCCTTGCGTACACGTAAGATCTCCATCAGCGTCTCAAACGCATCTGTTCGGGATCAGATTTAGATACCGGATACCTCAGACTAGTTAACACATCTCAACTTAGGGTTTTGTTTCGCCACGCATTCCCTCTCTCAACCCCGTACACACACATACACACACCTCCATTGGAGCCCCTAGTGACCAGGGACAGGACCCATGACCGACACCCAGGTGGGCCTTTCGAGTCTGTTCGTGTTCGAATGACTATCCCTTGAGGGGTTTTCATTGATCTGTTCCCCCGGAGTATTCCCACCAGCATTCCGCTCCCAACCCTCTCTTTCCACGCACGCACACACACACATACACACACACGCATATACGCACACCTATACACACACGCAAACCCCATCGTATGCCCCACCCACCGTATCGTCCGTCCTCCCCAAGAATGGCCCCCAGGGTGCTGCTGTAGAACATGTGCTGAGCCGCGCACCTCAGCCGCTTCTGTAAAGAGGAAAAGAAAAAGGAGGGGAACGGGGGCGTGTATGTATGTATGTATCTATGTATGTATATGTGGAAAGCAAGGCGCTGTTAAGGAGGGATAAGGCGGATTCGGAAGTCCCCCGGGGAAATGAAGGGGGGGAGAGGTGAGAGAGAGGAAGGGAGGGAGGGGGACGGGTGTACGACCACACAGGCGATGGTAAACGATAGAGGCAAAGAGCACGTCAACGAGGCTATGGCACGGAGGTCCTGTGGGGGGACGAGCGTGAAGGCCAGCGCGCGCAAAGCGTCAGACTGTAGCACCTTTTGTACGGCGCCAAATCACATGCGCCGTACACATACACAGAGTTGCAGGAGCCGTGGGCGTATACAGGAAGATTCTCCCTCGCTGCTTCTTTCGTGCCAAGTAAAACCACGCATACATACGCATATACATAATCGCATATACCATTATATGCATATACACACACACCTGTTTGGATGCCACTTCAGAGGCTGGCACGTTGGCCAGGATTCTCGGCAGGTCGGGTATATCCGCCTCAGGCACGCTGATGCTGAATCGCGACCAGTCGATTTCCGGCTCGAAGGGCTGCAGTACGTGGTCGCCAATTAGCACCGGAAGGCATCCCATAAAGGCAACCAGAATGTTACGTTTGCCATGGCCGCCGCCGACAGGCGCTAGACAGAACTTGTGTGAGGAGATATCCTGCATGGGGGACGAGAGGGATGGGGGGGAAAGTGCGGTGGAGAGAAAGGCCAGTGTGTGGGGAAATTAGAGGGCGAGAGAGAAGCAAGGAGGAGGAGGAGGAGGAGGGTTTTGAGGGGAGGTGAGTTGAGCCCACTTGGGGTTTGCCCTTGTTTGTGTGTTTTCATGTATGTATGTATGTATGTATGTATGTATGTATGTATGTATGTATGTATGTATGTATGTATGTATGTATGTATGTATGTATGTATGTACGTATGTATGTACGTATGTACGTACGTATGACTTTGATTACACTGTGGGCCGTGAGAGCCGGGGGCCGAAGCCGAGACACAGCGCAAGGGTCGGGAGCACACAGCACAAGTCGGTTATATGTACGTATGTATGCACAACTGCGGATGTGCTTGATGAAAGTATGGTTGGATGGTTCGGTTTTATTCTGTCCCGCGTAAAGAGCCGTGGTTCGATGAAATGGGAAGTCCGAGCCCTAAAACTGGAACCTAATCGAACTTGAGTAAGCAACGTCAACGTAGTAAGCAGCATCTTACAACTTAGCACTGCTGCTCGAGGACTGTTTGATATATACTCTCCGGCGACACGGCGCACCTCGAGGTACGTGCTGGTCCAGGCCACTATCCGGAAGCCCTTCACATTGCGGTGTTGCAGATATACCTTTCAGGGAGGAGAGAGAGAGAGTGAGTGATTGGAGAAGGGGAGTTGGGACTTAGGGCACGTGCGATGAGCCCCGCAACAGCGAAGCAACAGCAGCAGCACCAGCAGCAGTAGCAGCAGCAATAGCAGTAGCGGAACACAAGATGGACGGTGAATGCGGAGGGGCCAAGGGAAGATTGCACAGACAGACGGATGGCCACACCAGCAGAACCTTCTGCCACATGTACGACATTTCATAAACCAAACATTCATAACCCAAAGGTGTTATCCGGTGAATGACATGTAACGCAATCCTACGGGCAGCGATCTGGCACGCCCCGAAACCTACCAACACCCGGCAAAGGACCCTTGAGCAACGAACACAACCGCTCAACAGCGGCTGTATCCGCGGCCCTGATCGCCCAGAACCTACAGCAGCTACAGGAAGATCTGGAACTAAGGCAATAGCTACATGTCCCAACCCCTCGACTCACAGCTTGCCGCACGCCGAAACTGTAATCCTCATGCCCCGGCCCGCATTTCCCAGTTTTAGGGTCGGGCAAGTCTCGGTCTCCGCAGATGCGGCCCTGCAGGACCAGGACGTGGGGGATGTGTTTTGTGATGTGTGGTGCATTGGGTGGGGTGCGGATGGAGGAGAGAAAAGTGGGAAGTTGGGAGTTGGGAGCAGGAAAGCTCGTGCTCGGGAGACTCTTGCTCAGGGCCAAAAAAGACCGGACCCGCAAACTGGACCTCGACAAGGATGGAAGTGGAACCGGGGGGTTGGGTGGGCTTAGGGGAAGTAGCGTGTTGAGGGGTCCGTTCAGCGAAGTACGGCACGCCGTGTGCGCCACGCCACCCCCCTAAGGCTGCACACCCCACAATGCCCTTCATCGAAAAATCGCATCAACCACCTTCTTCCAGCCACCGTTTCATACACTTAAAAGACAAACAAACAAACACGAGGGCAAACCGCGTGCCCAACTCACTGCGAAGAAAAGTGTGCCGTTTCGCAACCGCGGCGCTCCCTGCGCCTTGATCTCCGCCTCCATCCTGGGGTTCATGGGCGACAGGTGGAAGCCCTGAGTCATGATCATGACCGGGATCACAATATCCTGCGGCACATAGGGGGGAGGTAGGGCGGAGGTAGGGGAAGGTAGGGGAAAGGTAGGGGGGAGGTAGGGCGGAGGTAGGGCGGAGGTAGGGCAGAGGTAGGGCAGAGATAGGGCGGAGGTAGGCGGAGGTAGGTAAGGGGAAGGTAGGGAGGAGGTTAAGCGGGGGAAGCGTACGTGTGGAGTGTTGAGGAAAGAAGAAGCGGGATCCCATCCCCAACCCCTTCCTCAGCCTGGTGCGGCCCTTGTGGGCCCTACATAGCCACCCCTCGTCTCACCTTCCCGGGTCGATGTGCCGGATACCATTTTGCTATCGGATGATACTCATGAAGCCCCCAGTGTGTGAGCCAGGTGATGTTGGAGAGAGACTCGTTCAACTCCCGGCGGGTGGCCAGAGGGAAGTCGTTGATGCTGTGGGGAGGTCAATCGCAAAAAGGAAAATAATGAAGTGCACCATTGAAGCAGAAAAACACGCAATGTAAATAAAAATGGCAACGGTCAAAAGCGCAACAAAGCCAAGACGCATCCCTCCGTCCACACCCCACACCCCTCGTACCCCATATCGCCGGTGTGGATGATCAGGTGACGGTTACCGTTGTCCTTGGACCACCAAGGGTACGTCTTCTTGATGTACGGCAGGGTCCACTCCAACTCCTCGCGGGCCAGCGACCCTGTCCGCGTGTTGATCGGGATGTAGAAGTAGTCGGCCTTGTTGCCGTCCAGGGTCCGCATACCTGACGACATGAGCCGCTGCCAGAACATCAGGTGCACAGGGCGGTCCATTCGCATGAAGGGGTACCTAGGTGCAGTCGGGCAGTTGGGAAGGTGCAGCGACGTTGGGTTGGGTTGGGTTCGGGGGTTGGAGAACGAAGAAGATGTGGTAAGATGGAATTGTTGGCTTAACTGTATGTACACGAAGATGGAATTATTGGTTTAACTGTGTGTGATGGTTAATGCTGGCTTAATGGAAAAGGCAAGTGGATGGGAGGTGTGCGGGTGGGTTTTGAAGGAGGATGGAGTGCGGTGTTGTAAGGGTGCCCTTCGAGGGTTCCGAGATCTGATACATCATCCATTTCGCCAATGCCATCACCGTTGACCTCGCCATTATCACCGCAAATTTGCCATTATCACCACTAAGACCGGTAAATGCACGCTCAGGTTCACGGCGATGCCGAGCGCGAAGCCTCGTGGTTAACTTCTTGTATTGTTTGTGCTCTAGATGGTTCTCCTGGGCATTTTAATCCTCGGTCTTATAATTATCTTAATAAAAAAAGACGCTAGAGTGTTGGATTTTTTACCAGCAGGCAACAATGAGATTCCGTACGGGCAAATTTGTTCGTATACAGGACTAATCGTTCGTATCCACGAACGAAGCATGCTGTCCTAGAGGCCCCGATGAACTCGCGGCCATGCAGTGCCCCAGTAGCTCACATCCGCCCCCAAAGGAACTATTTGTCAGATCCACAATGCCGCACTGTTTCACGACCCGAAACCCAACCGAAGGTAAGAACCTCCTGTCTTATTTCCTTTCCGTCCTTTCTATCCGCACACACCCCGCGCCCATCCCCACACCTTACCATGAGGTCATGTTAGAGGGCAGCTCGTATATGTACACTTTAACCCCAGTTTTCCTTTCTACGTAATTGCCATCTAGCAGCTGCATCTTGCCATTGGGCCCCCAACTGATGGCGCAGTCTATACCCCAATAGCCTGAGGGGGATTGGGTGGGGAAGAGGAGGAGGAGGAGGAGGAAGGGGCAGGGGTAGGGGTGGGAAGGAGGGGGAGGAGACATTAGCTAGTCACGGAAAATAGGGAGAAAGAGCGACTCTGCGACGCCGGTTGACGCCACTGTGGCGATTTGTGAGAGTACGGCACAAGGTGCTGCGCGCACCTGGCTGGCAGTGGCAGATGCCGGCGATGCACCTGCCTCGCTGGTTGCAGTTATTGAAGCAGGGAGAGTCCTTGCCGAAATCCCGAAGCTTGATTGAGTATTTGGCGCATAATTTACTGATACTGGGTACAACGGTAGAGCAAGCTGGGCCCGTGAAGTGCCGCGGGCAGTCGCACCTGCAACGCGGCCGGCGACGAAGGCCGACGGCGGGGTTGGATAGGGTAATAGCGCATAAGTATAGAAAACGCGCGTCTGATCATCCTGACCGCTGGAACTTAAAAGGATTTGGAGGATATGATGGGGTGTTAGGTATGCATAGACGGTGAGCGCGAGAAGCGTTATCCGATGCGACCACTTGGACGTATCACACCACCGGCCTTCTCAGAAAAGCAAGCAGAACTATAAAACTGTGGAAAAATTGATTAAAAATTATAGTAACTGCTGGCAGAGCGTTGCCCTTCCTCTCAGAGAGCCGCTACGGTAACTTCAAACGGCCAGGCCGCACATGCTACTTCTCTGGGTGTATACCTTCCAATATCTTCATGGCATACACCATGAACGGTACAGCCTTTAGGACAGCTGCTAGAAGGAGCAGCTACAGCCTGTCGCCTGAGAAGGCTTCGCCGCAAACAGAGCTCACGTTCTTCACCCCGGGTTGAATTGTAGCAATCATCTCTGTAGAATGCCTCTGAAGGCGTTGCAGCAAGAAAAAGGAGGCCGGTAACAATTGCGATGCTTGCCCAGGACATTTAAGCGCGTGTATGCTATTCAACAGAAGTTGTTGACCCAAACTTCATGTCATGTGGCCGGCTTATCTATTAACATGACAGAGACTCAAGGTCGAAAAGGCGTCACTATCCTAAAGCTGAATTAAGCACAGCAAGCTTTTGTATTTCAGAAAATGCTTTAGGGAGGAATACGCAAAGCTCGATGACTATCCGCTACCAATCCTGGCTATTCCGTCGTATATCGCTTGCAGTACGAAAAGGGCTGTCATGCGTATATGCGTCCGCATAACCATCCGAAAGTCTTCTAGTTTCGAATCAAGTTATCTATGTATTTTCTTGTTTCTGTATTCCTATTGGGGCGGCTCATGTCAGTGAATCTTTCCTCGATAGGGCGGCACAAGCTGTAGAATCTTGTAACAGATATATCAAATTAATAACAATTGTTACACAAATGTTTCAGCTACAACCTCTCATCGCGCCAGACGGGGACAGATTGCAACTGGAATCATCCGGAAGGGCGGGCGTTTGTTGAGCAGCAATAAGCCCCCAAAGTATGGCAGAGCATTCATTTTTTATTCCTTGTGTAGCTAGTTTTTTAATGGGAAAGATCCCATTGGAATTTTTCTAATGCTGCCTGTTACCCATGCAACAGGTGCGTGTCAATGTTGCACCTCATGACAGTGGCAACCGCCATACGGTAAACACAAAAGCAACATTATACCAATAAGTTCAATTGCGTACAACCTATTCATCTCATTAAATGGCGACTTGAGTGAAAAAGGCGAAGACGTCCCTTCAAGGCATCAGCAAAGCACCACCCCCCTCACAACATTGAGGACCTAATCTACAAAAGCATACCTAACTTTACTGGCAAACTTTCTTATCCAGGTAGTCAACCGTACCCACTCGCGTACGGGAATCGTGGCGCACCACGCCATTATGTCTCTATGTTAAAAAAAGTCAGAAGTCATTGCCGTCGTATTCTGCCATGGCTGTATAAGAAAGTCCATGATTACCGCGAAGAAGTCGTCAAGGTAGGGCCTTGTATATTAGCGTGACTATGCAATTCGCAACACCGGCACACCATGCGAAGTTTTTGAGCTTTAGGGTTCGGTTTGATTTTCTCAGCGTATCATTCATAGAATGCAGCCGGCTACTTTCGCGCTGATTCAGTAAGGGTCGGAGCTTGTTGCCGGTATGCGAAGTGTGAAAATGTGGAAGCTTGGACAAGCAAAGATTAAGAGACGACGTTTTATGATTAGATTTGCTTTTCGCTCTTCACAGAGTTCATGTGTATGATACTGGCATAACACATGAAAGCGTTTCTACCCTCCGAATCTGATTCATGCTTTTGCTTCATTGGACAGTGAAGGGTGAACTTCCTGCTGCTTGCAGTTTGGCTCCATCATGTACATGAAGAATCCGTATTCATTATAACTAAGTAAAAGCAATAAAGGTGGCTGAGTACGAATTATGTGAATTGTTGCGCACAAGATCCCTCGCTTGCGTAACTGAGGTAGCTAAGGGTGCAACTCGCCAAGAATTTTCAATCCTCGACGAATTTGTAGTGAGGGCCTCGAGTAGCATTGTCCATGGCCAACGTTTAGCGCAATCCTACCCGCTAGGGTTTGAAGGAGGCCGCGAAAGCCGCCGCGACTGCGCCGCGATCACTAAGGGACCATGCCCCAGCGACTTCATCATGTGCTCATGCGTTTTCTGTTAGGCTGTTGGGAGTTAGAGGTTAATAGGCCTAATGGGCGTGAGCGCACCGCGCGTACCTCCAGGCTTTGTGACTGTGGAGCGGTTGAAGATGAGTTGCATGTTTTCGAAGAATGTCCCGCTTACATGAGCATACGGGCTAAGTATGATGGTGATCTAGTCCTTAAGGGGCGCAGCATGCGCACCATTATGACTGAGGCGCTTCGCCCTGAAGCGGACGAGGGAGAATGAAGATGACCTCCCGCGTACCCGCATCAATACCAATACAACGTCCATGGGGGCCCCCCTCCGGCTTTTACGGACACACCCGCACTTGTGTGCGGAACTTGCAACTTGTAACTGGTAATCACTATAACTGCCGGAGGATCGCCATCCAGCGATCGCTGCCTTCTTGCACTCTGCTACACTCGCTGGTATATAGTTACCAGTGGCAGGCTGGCGATCGCTTTCCGTGTACCCTTCCAATACCCACCTCCCCTGCCGGTTGTGCTGCCATGCTTGGCTTGCCCCACGTGCCACGCACCACCCATCCACGCGGCAGCCCCCGTCGCCAAAACAATCCTTACTCGTCGTCTAGCGGATTTCCATATCTCATCTTTATTTTCTTCCTCTCTCTTTCTTGCTCTGTCCAGCAGTCCCTGGGCATCCAAGTTCGGTGTTATACGGAGCTCGTTATGCTCATTATGCTGCCGTTAAATTGCCTATCGGTGTTATCCTGAAAGAGCTCCCTGGATGGCTCGATGTGAGGTCGGGCGTGTGCTAATACCCTAGCCAACCCATGGGGTTGGTTCCCGCTGGTGCCACCGGATGGGGTTAAGGCATATGCTGCGGCACAGGCCACTGGATGCGAGCATCCCCAAGCAAGGACGCACGGCTGTGGTGAATCGCTCACAACGGGGCTGTGCTGTGCTGCCTATGTAGGCCATTGCACCAGAGGTGCTCATGCGCTTCAGGTTGAGTTGTTGGGAACTGGAAGTTAACAGTGACAGTGACAGTGACAGTGACCGCACAGGTGCGGAGGATTCCGTGGAAGCCGCGGGGGGCCCAAGGACCGTTTCTAAAAACAAGTGTTACGGTGTCGGTGGGGCGACTGTCGACATCCTACCGGCCCCATTTGAGCGCGAAGCGCCAGTGCGCTGCGTGCCTAGTCTCCTCCCTGACCTCGGAAAGAAAGCTATAGCTAATGCCAGCGGGGGAGCCTCAGTCACGATAGTGCGCATGCTGGCCCCTTGACACCCGATTTCCCTTGCCCTCAAGCCATCATAAGAAGGGCATTCCCCAAACACATGCAATTCGTCTCCCACCGCTCCACAGTCACAAAGCCTGCAGGTACGTGCGGCACGTTCAGGATCGTTATTCCTCTTAACCTCTCGAGCTCCCAACAGCCCGACCTAAAGCGCATGAGGACCTGGTGCAATCGCTGGGGGAGGGTGGTCTCCCTGCGCGCGAGCCACCCAGGGTGCGGTGCCCCCTCGCAGAGCGGTGCCCCCATCCAATTATGATAGCGACATTCGCCCTGACCCCGGTGACCCCCGGGGGGTGGGGAACCCCCCGGATTCACCCTGGGTGATCGCGCACGTCCAACGTGCGTCAAGCCTCTTCGCAGAATCCCTCAGGATGCTTCTCACGCGCAGCTTGAAGGCAATGAAACGTCGCCACCATTTCATCCCCACGCAAATCGGCCGGAGAGGCTTACAACCAGGTTGGTAAGAAAGCTCATATGACCTTGCTCGCCCAACATTCAGTGTTAAAACCCTTAGTGCCAGCCCCAGGTCAGCGACAAAACCCTAAGTTACCAGGCCTAATGCCCGCGAGCGCGCTGCATTTACCTGCAAGCTTTGGGAGTGCGGAGTAGTCGAGGATGAGCTGCATGTCTTTTGTGAATGCCCACCGGCCTGTGTGGGGACTTCCGAGTTAGATACAAGGGGGACATTGGCTTCTGGGGGGACGAAATTTGTACTATAAACTAGTCCCCCGGCAATAAGTCCCCCCCCCCTCTTTAGCTAGCTATGGCTAGTTTTCTCTCGGAGGTTTGGGAGACCATTGCGCCAAGCCCATCAGGCGAGCGGGGGAGAAGGAAGGTTAACATCCTCACCCAGGCAAAGGACCGTCCGCGGTACCCCCTACCGGCTTTTACGTACGGACCCTCCTCCCTCCCCAGGCATTTGTGACCGGAACTTGTAACTTGTGAATACATAGTCAAACGCAATGCTGTCGTATGCTGTTGTATGCTGTCGTATGCTGTCGTATGCTGTCGTATGCTGTACATATCATAATTATTTGCATTTATGCAGTAAATGTCCCTTTCCCCCCCGATGTATACCTCTGGGCCTATCTGCATATCTCCCCGCCGAATGGGGTCTATGATGGTGGGGCCTAACACCGCCGCAGCTGACTTCCAGTCCGCCACCGCCTCCACCTCCACCTCCACCTCCACCTCCACCTCCACCTCCATCTCCACCTCCACCTCTGCTGCGAGCCATATTCTGGGGTGCGTGTGTGTATGTGTGTGTGTATGTGTGTGTGTATGTCCCTCAGCCGAGTGTTGCGAGGCAGGCCACGCATGTGTGCATATCAAAGGCTAGTAGCAGTAGCTCCCAGCGGATGAACGTCACTTCCCGGTCAGTTAAGGCTGATGACAGTGTGCAGGCACGTATGCAGGCGACCAAACATGTGGATTTGTCTGAAGGTAGTGAGGGACACGTCGTACATCACGCCGGCAGGCATAATAGTGGTGGTGGTGGCGGTGTTGTTGGTAGCAATAGTGGTGTTAATGGTAGCAATAGTGGTGGTAGCAATCGTGGTGGTGTTGCTGGTAATATTTGTGGCTGTATTTGTGGTGGTGGTGGTGGTGGTGGCGGTGTTTGTGATGGTGGTGGTACGGTGTTTTACGGTGCCATCCAAAGCTAATCATACATGCATCAGTCTGTGAGGAAAGGAGTGCGCAACAATCCCAAATCTGGATCCACAGTGGTGGACCACCACCACGCATTTTACATAAAACGCAGCATGTCGGTACGCTGCTTCCGCACGACTGTGCATACACACACATGCACACTCGCCCCGACCTCAGCTCTATAAAACACACACGCACACGCGTCTCGTGCGAGTTGCTCGACTCGACCACTTCCCCAAGCCCCTCCCTTCCCTCTGTGTTGCACCGGCCCCAGCTCCCGCGCCTCCTGACCCCACCCAAATCGTAGCGCTACACCCTCTCTCCCCTCCTCCGCCTTCTCTTTCCCTCCTTTTATGTCCGCTGGGCGACTACCCACATCCTGCAGCCCCCCCCCGCCTTCTCTCCCCTATGACCGCCTGAACCCAACCCCCAACTACCCCCCAAGGTCACAATCACACAAAGCAGCAGCAGGATGCAAAGCGGTGGCCGAATTCTTATCTTAGCTCCCTATCCCCCAACCCCCCCTTAACAGCTTGCTTTTCTAATTTAATGGAAGTTAGTGAGTGTTTGTATAGTTCTCATACTAATGGAAGTTAGTGTTTGTATAGTTTTCCGGGAAAATATGAAATTAAAATTGGATCCGCTGTAATAACAAAACCGGCAACCGTTTGTTTCTTTTTTTTACATGCAGACGACAGGGAACGAATGCTCGACATCTCGTTATAGCTACGGCCACACTCGGGGACACTTGGTCATGTCCAGCTCCGAGCAGCACACCATCCCCCCCGCCCAGGAGTAGAAGGTACTTCCAGTTCGCTGAGCGGCGACATGCTGGTGACACTCCCCGCATGTGGGCGTGGCTTTGTACTGCCGCTCGTGACCTTGGTTACATAGAATCTGATCGGGGCCACCTGGATTTGGGTGGCCCGGGGGGGGATGTGGAACGAGGGCCCTCGGACGTTTCTAGATGTGGCCGTGTTTAAGGTCACCCCAGGGTGGTTCACACGGAGGTACGCGTAGGGACTTTACGCTTTGTCAAGCATGACCTCAGGAGAATTCAGGATATGGTAGGATATATATTTTTATGACAACGTTTGAAATTATTGTGAAGGGTAGTAAACAGGTGGGTTGGGGTTGGGGCGTGGAAGAGATGCAACGTACGAGCGCCCCAGAGGTCCGTGGTGGACCTGATATTTTACCTAGGTCGCAGTCGACAAACTTGCGGAAACGCTCGTCCACGTGGATGTACTGTTCGGGCGGTACGTCGGGATGCGCCTTCCGTACACGTAGAATCTCAATGATTGTCTCGAAGGCATCTATTGTGGGGGGCGGCCCGAAAAAGGGGGTTGAAAAGAATGGTGAGGTACGCCATGTGAAAAATCAGTCTGTCAGTTAGTCAATCAGTCAATCAGGTTATAAAAACATTTACAAAATCCCAAATACGGCTTAGCTACGTGACCAGATGGGGCAGACCGACCCCAGTCCCCCCATCCCTTCGAGGAAGCGGACAAGAGCAGTGAGAGAGCGGGCGCCAAAAGCCAATTCCACCCCACCCCACCCCACCCCACCCCACCCCCCAGTTGTAGCTCTCGGAGCTTCCGTGTGAAAGGATGTGTGAGCATGTACACAACACTAACCACACAAAAAACAGAAATTATATATATTATGTATATATGTATGTATATATATTGTATATATATTATGTACATATGTATGCATGTACCATAATATGTGTGTACATGACTTCTGGAAAAAGTAAATGTGCTAAGACACGCAAGGGTATTATGTCGAAATTCCCAGATCGATCCCGACATAATGAGGACTATTGCGAATCGGTGGGGCACCATGCTCCTAGTTGCAGCAGCCTTATTATAGAGAGAAGTGAGCCGATAAGAGAGCCGACTCGACTTGGTAGTCTGGTGGGGAGGAATTCTGAACACGCATACACACCTGCACCCCCCCCACACACACGCAAACCCCATCGTATGCCCCACCCACCGTATCGTCCGTCCTCCCCAAGAATGGCCCCCAGGGTGCTGCTGTAGAACATGTGCTGAGCAGCGCACCTCAGCCGCTTCTGTAAAGAGGAAAAGAAAAAGGAGGGGAACGGGGGCGTGTATGTATGTATGTATGTATGTATGTATGTATGTATGTATGTATGTATGTATGTATGTATGTATGTATGTATGTGTGCATGTATTCATTGTTAAGAGGGCCGGGAGAACAACCACCAGGGGGTGAGAGGGGGGGGACAAGGCGCTCTTAAGGAGGTAAGGCGGATTCGGACGTCCCCGGGGGATGGGTGGGAGAGGTGAGAGAGAGAAAGGGAGGGAGGGGGACGGGTGTCGTTGTGTGTTGTCATGTTTTTAACTGCGTGGAGGTAGTGCGTAGTGAGAGTGAGAAAACATGGAAATGTAGTGTATGGAAGGAAGATGCGGTGTGAGACAGCTGGCTTACGTGGCCAGGTTGCATCCCGGTGTCGTACGCCGCACATACACACACGCTTGGGCCCCGCGTGTGTGTGCACGTCCGCGCACAGGATTCCCAGCCGCCTTCTCCTCCAGCCTTTAAGACCCCTAAACCCCCACAAAACCCCAAAGGAAACCAAAACCTCAAAACGTGCAAAAGCGCACACCCGCTCTCCCTTCCCTCGTTCCCCCTTCCCTTCTCCCCCTTCCCTCTTCCCCCCCTTTTCTCTCTCGCCTGCATATCCGCTACACGCTGGTCCGAGATGTTGGCCAGGATTCTCGGCAGGTCGGGTATATCCGCCTCAGGCACGCTGACGCTGAATCGCGACCAGTCGATTTCCGGCTCGAAGGGCTGCAGTACACCATTCCCGATCAGTACGGGCACACAGCCCATCAGAGACACTAACACCTGGCGCTTGCCGTGGCCTCCTCCGAGGGGCGCAAGACAAAACTTGTGCGAGGAAATGTCCTTTCGGGGCAAGGGAGGAGGTAGGGTGGGAGGGGAAAAAGGGGGAAAGGTGGGGGAAGAAAGGGCATTATTACACAGTGGGGGGTTCGCTGGTGTGGAAACCCTCTCCATATTCCCTTTTCCACAAGATGTAAATGCACAATAATTTTCGTACCCCTAATCCAGCGATTTGCCGTACATTGACGTACAGGTGATGGTCCATCCCCTCACCTAACCCTCCAGTCTCAGTCATCCCTCCAAAAACCCCATTTCCCCCCCCCCCGCCAAACCCCCCCCACCAGCCCCGCACCTGTAGGTATGTCTTGGTTCCGGGGACCACTTTAAAACCCGTCGTATTGCGGTGGTGCTTGTACACCTAAATTATAAAATCAAATTCGAATCGAAAAGACATACGAGAGAGGAAGATGAAGATAATTTAAGGTAACTTTCAAGGGGTTTTCGGGGTGAGGGGGAAAACACACGTCGGAAGATGAATTAGCGTCGAGTGTCGATGTTATTTGTCGATTAGCCCCGTCGATCATCTGGTGGCTGTCAGATTATGCTCGTACAAAAATACCCGACATGTCAGGACGAGGGGCAACAAACATGACGTGCCCACGTACATTAAAACACGTCGGAAAGCAAATGGCTGGGAAAGACTGCGAGTACTCAAGCATATGTCTTTCTCACACGCCAAAACCCCCAAGACCCCTGATCTCGATCCACCCACCGCCACCCACCAGCTGCCGTACTCCGCCGCTGTAGTCAGGACGTGTTCGCGAGCAATCCCCCGTAGCCGGGTCGGGGGGCTTCCGGTCGCCACAAATACGGCCCTGCGCACAGGCCGTTAGAGTTGGTTGCGGCGGTTACAACAGTTGGTGGTGACAGTCTAGCGGCAGTTGGAGCAGTTGGAAGCAGCTGTGTTGCCAGAATCCAGAGAAGCGCAAAGCAGACAAATCGACTGGGCCCCCTTTAGGAGGAATGAAGGCTCAAAGAGTCAAAGTTGCTAATGCCCCGCCCACCTGCACGATACCTAGAAGCTTCCGTTTTCTCCAAGTTTTGTACAAAGAAAATGAAATTCTTCTGCTTAACAAGGGATTGAATCAGAAGCATGAAGGCACAAAGGTACGGGCCCAGGGCGCCCCCTCCGCCCCCAAATCCGTATCATCAAAATCGCATCCCCCGCCCACCTTCAGCCCATCCGGGTATTGAAGTACGCGCACATTTGGGTCACAACGCCTAGGTTGCGTAATCTTTCTCATCTGCCGTTTTTAGCACAGCCTGACTTTCCTGAAGGTCATCCTGTTCTCAATTTCCCCTTCCCTCCCACTTCAACATCAGTTCCCGCCCCCCCCCGCCCCCCCCCCCACACACAGAGTAACCCCCCCATCTCCCCCCCAAATTCCCCCCATACGCCGCTGTCAGTCACCCACTGCGAAGAAGAAGGTTCCGGACCGTGCCATGGTTTGGTTCCTCCTCCGCGCCCGTGCCTCCACCCGCGGGTTCAAGGGGGACAGGTGGAAGCCTTGTGTGGTCACCATCACCGGCAACACCACGTCCTGCGTATGTATGCGTTTGTATGTATGTATGTATGTATATATATGTATGTATGTGAAGGTAAGTTTGGATAAAGGGGAGAGCGGGAGGAAATGGAGGGAAAAGGGCGGGTTGTACGGAGCTACTAGATTCATGTCCGCCGTCCCCGGGCTCCCAGCCCTCCGAGTGAAGAGGACATCATCCCAAAAAATCATTAAAAAACATTTCTTTAAAAATCACCCCCCGTGAGAAATGAAAACTTTTTCAGACATGTCTTCTTCGCCCAGCCCCCCTGCACACACAACATCACACGGGGCCCCCTACACCCCCCTGGCCCCTCCCCAACCCGGACTCCCCCCCACCCCAAGCAACACACGTAACCTCTTACCACTAAAAAACCCTTATCCGCCAACTCCCCTCCCCTCCCTTCAGCTCCAACGCCACCTGCTCTCCCATCTCCCCACTTCCTTCCATTTCCCCGGGGCAGTTGCGTCAGTGCAATACACACGGGGTTTTTCCCCCCACCTACCTCTTTGCCCGGTTTATTTTGGTAAAAGCCTGATGCTTCTGAGCCACTAAGTGGTTACAACCCAACAGGCACACACGCAAACACGCAAAAACACACACACAGACCACCTTCTCCACATCCCACCTTCCCTGGGCGGTGTGCCGGGTACCACTTCGCCACAGGGTGGTACTGGTAAATGCCCCAGTGGGTCAGCCAGGTGATGTTGGAGAAGGCGCTCTTCAGCCGGGAACGCATATCGGCGGGCAGGTCGGCTATCCTGCACGCATGGAGTCAGTGCGCAGTAGCAGCAGTAGCAGCAGCAGCAGTAATGATGATTTCAAGACTCCTCTGCCGCAACGGCGACCAACTGGCCGCGGGCAACGGCAACGGGTAAGTCCCCCACAAACACGCACACAGACAGACAGACAGACAGACAGACAGACACATTTACAGAGTTCATCGTGTCTAGGCCATGTCCTCGCCAGTTCGTAATCCCGGTGTCGCGTCACCTCCCTCCAGTAGGCAGGTAGGTAGGCAACGGCGGGCAAAGACTGGACAATATTAAGTTGAAGGTGTGGTCCCAGGGGGCCACCCAGGGGCCCTTAACCGGCAGATAACCAACCGGGAGATACAGCCCCCGCGTGCTTCAGATCTGCCTCAACCAAACCAAGTAATGCCGTACATGATCAAAGCAAATAACAAAATCCAAAATCCAAAAATCCAACCAGAAACGTAAATAAAAATGGCATCGGTCAAAAGCGCCACAAAGCCAAGACGCATCCCTCCGTCCACACCCCACACCCCTCGTACCCCATATCGCCGGTGTGGATGATCAGGTGACGGTTACCGTTGTCCTTGGACCACCAAGGGTACGTACGACGGATGTACGACAATACCCACTCCACCATCCCTGGAGCCAACTCCGTCCGCGTGTTCACCGGAATGAAGTAGTAGTCGGCTTCGTCGCCGTCGACGGTCCTTATACCCGCGGACATGAGCCGCTGCCAGAACAGCAGGTGCAGCGGCCTGTCCAGTCGCCGAATATTGAACCTGGCGGTGGTCACCGTCCGGGGGGGGCCGTGTCACGGAGGTGGGCGGGGAGTGGGGTTTTAGTGGGCGGAGGTGGGTTGGGCCGGAGTGGGGCGGGAGGGAGGTGCGGTTTGAGCAAGTTTTCGGGGGATGCTGGAGGCGATGACCTGGAGAAGAAACCAATGTACGGTTGAGGGCACTTTGGTGGCTGACGTCGGGTGGGGTAGGGGCTGAGGGACGGTGCTGGTGGCCCGGACGGAGCCTGCGTGCATGTGTGTATGTGCATGTGGTGGTGGTTACAATGGGCTCCAGACTCACAAAGGGTAGAGCCAGCGGGGGCCATTTGCTGGCCGTGCATTATTATTGCAGCTGAGGCGATCAGGGCGAACAAGACACCCACCCAGACTACCAGACAACGCAAGTAGTCACCTAGACAGCAGAAAGCGAATCCAAAGGGTCAGGGCTCCGAAACCGTGTGTGCGTGTATGTGTGTGTGGTTGTGGTGGTGGGGGGGAAAAGAACTCCCACCCTGGGGAGGGGGGTGAGGAACTGTTGGAGATCGGCGCACGGCCTGTGAGCGGAATCGCCGCCAGGATAGGGCCGAGGGCACGGGAAGCTGCAGACATGTACGGAAAACCCATACACACACGCGCACAGGTACACACACACGCAAGAGGCCCCGTCCTAAGCGAGGATAAGGGCCCGGGACCCACAGTCTGGTAGCACCCTTAACCTGTCCTTCCCAGCACGATCCCACCCATCCTAGCCTAGATGCCGTATTCTTGTCGTACGCATGCCGTATTCATGCCGTACCAAGAGGTCATATTTGGTGGTAACTCGTACACGTAGATTTTGATGCTACCGTTTCTTGGCTTATATAGTCCATCTAGCAGCTGCATCTTGCCATTGGGGCCCCAACTGATGGCGCAGTCCATACCCCAATAGCCTGAGGGGGATTGGGTGGGGAAGAGGAGGAGGAGGAGGAAGGGGCAGGGGTAGGGGTGGGAAGGAGGGGAGGAGACATTAGGTCGCCACGGAAAAGAGGGGGAGGAAGGGGCTGTGGAAGATGAACCACAGACGAGTGATGCTGATACCAGAGATCGACGGATACGCCGGGAATAGGCGGAGGATGGCGGGGTGATAAGGAGGATGAGGATGAGGTGTGATGGGAGGGCGGAAGGAGGGGAGACAGGGAGGGAGGAGGGAGGACTTTTACGCGGAGAAGTATCAAAAGTGAGGAAACGAATAACTGTTGGCGCCTTTTACGACGCCACTATCACCGCCACCGCCACTACCACTACCACCTCCACTATTACTATCACCGCCACCATCACAACCACACCAACATGACTAGTCCAGTAACCCATCAAGCTGAGTAACCTTCCCCGCCCCAACACACAAACACATGCACACCGCCGGCCCGCTCCGTCCCCCAACCCCCGCCGGCTACTTTCCTCCCGCCCCATTCCCTCATCCCCATGAGAGACTGTCCTTGCCGTACCAACATCACCACCACCGCCGTCGTCACCACATCGAGTCTTCCCCCCCAAGGTTAGCTGTACGGTACTTAGAGAGATTACGCTATGGCGGCGCTCTAAAAGGATTAAATGGGCCTTATCCAATGGGCCCATTGTGAGATGCCGGATAGGTGGGGAGGGGCAGGAGGGGGAAGTGCCAGGGAAAAGGTGGACCGCGGCGGGTTTCGGCACAGCTTGCGCGTCGGCACGAAACACAGTGCCCCAACCCAACACAACTCGGTGAAGCGGACGAGACCAGTACCGGAATATTTTAGGGACCGAATGACAAGAACCGCCGTCCAACTTGGAGAGGAGGACTTGCCGTGTTTTCTCGGCTCCGAAACCGGACCGACCGACCCCAACCATAACCCATGAGCAAACCGGTCGAGCCCCGAAACCCGCTATAACCGGTTATGCAGCCAGCCTGCCAGCCCAGCCAAAGCCGCTGAAAGAGGCCCGCCAGCCTCCCTTATCGTCTCTGTTCTTCTTCCCATTCCGGGCCCATAGGTGCCGCTATCGAGGAGAGTGTGCTACTGACGCACCGGGTTGGCAGTGACAGATCCCGGCAACACATCTGCCGCGTTCGTTGCAGGAGTTGAAGCAGGGAGATGCTTTCCTGCATTGGCTGAGCGTGAACCCGTAAGTTGCGCAGATGTCCTTGATGTTGGATGCGACGTCCGAGCAGGAGGGCCCCGTGAAGTGTCGCGGGCAGAAACATCTGGACGGCAGCGGGAGGCAGGAGGGGGGTTTGATGGGGAACCTTGTGGATCTCTTGGGAGTGGAGATGGGCGACGTCAACAAGGGGTAAGGTGGATTGGGTCGGGCAGGACACGAACCGGTCCCACGACCTCCCCAAGACACAAACGAAAAAGATTTATTAATGTACAACGCATGCAGTGGTGGCTGACGACAGAAGCCTGCGTAAGATTATGGCTGGCATGCAACAGCGAAAACTGCTTCGCGGTGAAAATTAAAGGTGCAAACTTAAATGTCTCATGCATGTAATCGCATACGGATGATGCGCATTTTGTTTTAAAGATGTGTGGATTTGACACGATTGACAGTAACAGCGCACGCCGTGCAACTCACGTCGCAAGCTCCTCATTGCAAACTCCTTTCACATGACATCCTGGAAGACAGCTGGAATTCAGAGGTGGTGGGGATGGAGGCGCGGCTACTGCCGTCTCCTCCGCAAGCCGACGCCTTATGCTTTGACTGCGCTGTCGGCTTCTTAAGGTATTAAAGTAGAAGCCTTTACCGAGTGCCTGGTGTGGTATCGCAGCTAAAACCAGAACAGTAAACAGAAGCGATTGTGTTGAGGACATTTACTTGCATGACAAGGAACGCGTTCTATAGCTACGGGATATATATGGAATCATTCAGGTGAGGTTTTGAGTCCTTAGCCAGCCAAGGAAGTGGTGGGCTCTCAGGATAGAGATAGGACAGGCACTGGCGTTTAGCTGCAGTCGTGTAATTTAGGGTCGACTGATTACCTTCTACCAATGCCAGACCTAAAATCTCATCCTTTTGAAATCCACCCTCTCAACCACAAATTGAAGGCATTAGGGGCTGCCGCCGGGGAAAAGTCCCGTACCACAACTGAAAAGTTAGTACGGCTACCTGGTCGATCAATCTCATTCATTTGTTTGTAAGAACGGAATCCTAGTCGCATGTGCGGCCCTTGAAGGATAGATATCCGTTGTTGGGGGACACGTGCTTGATGGCCGGTACGGCTTGTACAACAGGTAACATCGTGTCTATCCTATTCCAATAACGACAACAAAGGCCTACTTGCCGATCACTCCATTCTCGCCCTTGAGGTGCGTCATCTGCATCCGCTATGGCATTCGCTAAGGCATTCCGCTACTTGTGCGCATCGCTGCCAGCAAACGCCAACATCAGCGTCAAAGCCCGGATTGCTAACATCTTTTGGTCCAAGAAAATGCTCGTCCTGGCGCTCCGGAAAAGGATAAACACATGGACCTGGTCCCGCCGCCTCCTGTTTGCATCGCTGTCCTTATCGCACATGCAGCTTCGGGAGAACTTCTATTTGCTGTCGTCCCCTGCTCTGGCCGCACATCGATCTGTGATGCGGTTGCGACAGAGGCTGCCTGCTTCCCGCAACCCAAAGGCAAAGGCGAAAAGCAGCAGCAGCAGCGGTATGCCAACCCCTGATGCGTCATACTCCAGGAACATACATACGTAAACATACGTAAATACAAACACACACGCACACTAGGGGGAGTTGTGCTTTCTACAGGTAGCGCACATGCCGCACTGGCTTTCCCACCGATCCCCGAGCAGCTGAACAAGGCTGCAGGGGGAGCTAACACAAATATAGTCATTTGGGTCATTTCGTAAAGTTGCATTCGCGGAGACCGTTTCTCCTCCGACGTAGGGAGAGGTGGGTAGGTAGGTAGGTAGCTAGGTAGGAACGTACGGCATGGTGTTTACACTATGCTCAACTACCCAAAAACGCGACGCTTTTATAATTATCGGCCGCAAAAAATTTAAAATGTCCAGTAGAGAGAATATAATTCGTAAAATCTAGGACTACAGTAAGAATTTCAAGTCCCCCCGCCCCCCGCGGGGGGGGGGGCGCCACCCCTGCCGCGATCATCCCGGTGCCTTTGTTCGGCACCTTGCAGGCCTTATGTCCTCCCCCTTCCACATAACCAAGCCAAACCCATCCAAACGCAGCTTCCACCTCCGCCTCCATCGCCGCCGCCAGCTTCTATTGATGTGTGTGGCCGTATTGATGTGTGTATTAACACACACGCACAGTTACAGCTAAATCGCAGCCCAAGTCGCGGCTTCCGCCCCGCAGCCGCCCAATCAGCCAGGAAGCAGCCACCCCAGTCCATCTGGCCCATCACGACATACATACAAGACGACTACAGGAATCTCGAAAAGACATCCCACCCCTAACCAAATCGACCCACGGGTCATTAAATCCCAATGAAATAACACTAAACCGCAAGGAAATTGCTCCGCAGCTCCCCAAACACCCAGGGTCCCCTCCACCCGGCGTTCTCAACTCGCACCACGTTCCCGCCCCCTCCCCGCCATCGCCACATCCCCCACACATACACACACATACACACACACATACACACACATAGACATACACATGCCCGTGCCGCTCTCCGTCATAACCCTTCATCCCCGCACCCCACCCCGGGTGGGTGCTGTTTCCCCCTCCCCGCCACCCCGCCACCCCTCACTCCTGTGGCCCCACACCGTCCATCAGCCTGGTCCGGAAGTCCGACAGCAGCGGCAGGTCCTCCACCAGCTGCCTCCAGGGGGGGGTTCCCGGCCCGGAGGACCTCACAGTGCCGTCGAGCTGCACCTGGATGTAGCAGTTGGGCTCGCGGGGGGACAGCCCCGCGAACTCCTTCTGCTCCAAAATCCAGGCCTGAGGTGGGGGGGGGGAGGCGCCGCCGTCGAGGTGTGAGGGGAGAGTGAGAGAGAGGAAGGGCAATAGAGAGCGCGCGAAAGAGAGAGATTTGATAGAGAGAGAACAAGAGGGACAAAGAGAGGGACAAAGGTATAGGTATAGGGGTTCGGGTTCGGGGCTGCGTTGGGTTGTGTAAAAAAGGTAGGTAGGGAGTGGAGAAGAGCAGTGGGGGGTGGGGGTGGGGGTGGGGGGGTCCGAGAAGGGACCCGATACAGTGTGTATTCTGGTGCGACGTTTCGAACTGGGCTGGGCTGGGTTGGCTGCCTGGGGGAGGGTATCCACGGGCGGCGAGAACGGCGGATGTTGCCACACAGCGGTTACGAGTGTCACCCGCCCCAACTACCCCACCTTCCACTCGTCCACTGCGTACGGCTCCAGCCTCCAGCGCTTGTCCGCATCCATCAGGCCCCCCAACACCGTCGCCTTGGACCTAGCCGCCCTGGCCTCAGCCGCCTCCGCAGCCGCCTTCTTAGCGGCGGCAGCGGACTCGTCGAAGCCCCGGGCCCTTAGGCCGGCAGGGCGGCGGAGTTGGGTTGGGATGGGGGGAGGGGGAGGGGGAGGGGGAGAGCGTTGATGATGGGGATGGTTGCTTGGGGTACTTTGGGTTCTTTCGTTCACTCAGTTCGGCAGTTAATTTATTCGCCATCCATTCATCCATCCATTCACCCATCCATAATTCATTCATTCATCCATTCACCCATCCATTAATTCATTCATTCATCCATTCACCCATCCATTTATTCATTCATTCATCCATTCACCCATCCATTTATTCATTCATTCATCCATTCACCCATCCATTCATTCATCCATTCACCCATCCATTCATTCATCCATTCACTCATCCATTCATTCATCCATTCACCCATCCATTCATTCATCCATTCACTCATCCATTCATTCATTCATTCACTCATCCATTCATTCACCCAGGAGTTCTACCGGCGGAGCTACTGCGCAGAGAGGGGAGAGCTACAGCTCACTGTTAGCGCGAGTGCGAGTGCGTTGTTGTGCGGCCCGCGCGGACCTGACCAGCCGTGTGTTTGGGTATGAGGCGACTTGGGAATGAGCGTGGGTGGTGTCGGACTAGTATGCCAGCCGTACACGCATACATACATGCATACGAACCCGGGGGACTCACTCCTTTGCAAACTCCTTCCTCAGGGCCCTCAATTTGATCTCCGGGTCCACATCCCCCACGGGAGCGCTCTCGAAGATCACGGGGATGACTGTGGCCGGGGGTTGGGGGGGGGGGGTGGGCGGGTTTTGGCCGGGGGGAAAAAGGCGGAGCGGGGTTACAGGAGGGGCAAAGTCAGAGGAACAGCTGACGGGGGTGTGGGAACAGCTGACGGCAAGTGGGCGGGTAAGCTAACGGAAATAAAAAAGCGGGTGCGGGGGGGACTGGGGTCGAGATATTGCGGTTAGGGATTACGCGGTGTGTGTATGTGCGTGTGTGTGTGTGTGTGTGTGTGTGTGTGTGTGTGTTTAAAGAGCGGTGTAGGCAGGTTTCATGAGGGGCAGGTTTTGGCATTGCAACCAACAGATGGTACGGCAATCACTCACCAGGACCAGGAGGAGCACTGCCTCTCCACCAACTGCTTCCCTCGAATCACTATTTTCACCTTATCGTCCGGGAATGTCGTACTCGTACTAAGGATTTTCAGGAAAAAGCGGACAAACAGATAGACGAACCCGTCCTTGCCCCCGCCCCCTCCCCCCCCCGCCCACCGGACACAGCTCGGTCTCTGAGGTTGATGTACTGGCTGTCCGCTTCCTTGATGGCCCTCTCCACGAAGCTCCGAGTGCCCGCCACGATGACGGGTCGGACCTGGCCTCGGAACTTGAGCAGCGGGAGGACCCGGTCATTGCCAAGGTCGATCTGAGGGGGGAGAAAACGTGTGTGTATGCGTGTGTGTTTTGGTGGGTGGGGGGGGGAAAGCCGCACCAGGGAGAGGAAAGAGATATGAAACGGCTCTAATTTTCCCCCTCTTTTTTTCACACACCACCCAAGCTTGTATGAGTTCGTACACGAACCCCCAATCAGAAAACAAGTGTACGGCTCTGCACTTCAGGGCAGCACCAGGCATACGGAAACCCAAGTACATACCGTACATACACCATGCATCTGTACATACACACGTGTGTGTGTTTGGAAATGTGGGGTTCAGCTCGAGTGGGGGGCCTCACTCCCTACCGCTCCCTAACCATTGCCTTTCTCTCCCCCCTCTACATGGTTTTATTTCTCTTCGCCGCCCCCGAAAACCCCCGGGACAAACACGGTGGGCCCCCCATACACACACACACACACGCACACCTGCAATCGGCCCATGAGCTCCTCCCGAGTGGTAATCCGTACGGCCTCCTGCTTCTGACTCACGTCCCGGTACAACAGGTACGACAGCACGGCAACAGCCACGGAGTTGACCCCCAAGTTGGTGAGGGACTCGTTCAGGTCAGGAGCTTCGGGACCACCTAGGGGGCCAGTTACAGACATACATACACGCACACATGCGTCAACAACCGCATTCCCTTTTACTTCAACACAAACGCAAACAAGGACTGCTGCTACACGCCGTACAAAACACGGTGCACGACGAAGGAGGCTGTGCTGCTGACAGGCGCAAGGGGGCCCTATGCCCCCTCCCGCGCCCTTGTTATGAGATATTTCCCGCAACCTTTGGGGGAATGTGTGTGAGAGTGTGTTTTGGCGGTTTGCCTTCCTGTCAGGACAGCGGGGGGCAGCTTGCCAGTACGTCTCAGGGCGCTGGTCATGTACGGCGCACCAATTCATTTCACACATGTATGTACATACATACATACGACATCCTTCCGGTCTCTAGTTCTTGTCCCTGTTCACAGTCTGCGACTCCCCTTCTAAAACAGCTCCCCCCTTCCTTCTTCACCGAGCCCCCCTCCCCCCCTTTTCCCCCCCTCTCCCCCCCTCCCTGTCCCCCACCCACCCACCCTGTAGGGCCTTCACCAATCTGAACACGATGATGACCAGACCGATGGCGGCGCTGCCCAACAGACCCCCGAACAGGATGATGCGAGGGAGGCGGAAGGGGGCCTGGGGAGGGGGGGGAGGGGGGAGAAACGGGCAGCAGCAGCAACCGGAGGGTGCGGGTTTGCGGATGTAAGCAGCGGCAGTAGGTGTGTGTGTGTGGGGGGGGGAGCTGGATAGGTGAAGCAAGTAACGCCGCAAGGGACATATCGGTGCGGGGGTGGGGGTGCGGGGTGGGGGAACAAAACACCGTGGGGGGCTCTTTCCAGGGTGGTTAGGTGGGGTTTGGGGTTTGGGGTTTGGGGGTTTGGGGGATGGAAAAAAAGAGCTACAACCCTCACTTCCAGCGGCTGCCCCCCTGGACCTGTCCCCCCCGAAACAAGGCCCAACAGGCCAGGTTGCCTTGCATGTAATGCCCTCCCCTGCCGAATACAATGCACGACAAGAAAGCATAGGATCCATCCCCCATAACCACCACCGCCATGGTCACCATCACCACCACCATTACCACCGCCACTACCACCACCGCCACGTGGCTCTTCTTCCCCAAAACGTAGCTAAGCCCCTCCCTGCCGCCATCACATCGCCGCTGCTACTGTCGCCTCTGCTGCTACTGCCACTGCCGCCGCTGCTGCTGCTGCTGCCACCGCTGTCGAAAGCAGAAACGGTCGATCCCGGGGGGCCCCTGTTGCCGCCGTCGCCAGCCGCCATCACCGGCTCCTTCACCACCATCACCACTGCCACTATCGCCCCTGCCACGATGACAAGGACAGCACCTTCGCCGCCGCAGGTCCCCCACTACCGCATCCAAGCTACCATTTCGCAGAGCCTTGTGCTACTGCCGCGTCCAATTTCCCCCCCCCCATACATAGGCGGGTGGCCGCGGGATGTGTGGCGCGTACCTTCGCCTCGGTGCGCAGATCCACTTTGGTGCTTCTGGAGATCCCTCCCTTGACCTGAGTCAGGGCATCAATCCATTCCCGCCGCTCCCTCAGTTGCTTAAGATCTTCATCCTACAAGCAGATGGGCATTGCACAAGGTTTCGGCGTCCTGAGCGCCTGCATACTCTGTTCTATCAAAGCATTCAACCCTGCAAGCAAAGGACATTCTATGCAAACAGCGACTGTTGGGCTGACCTTAAGCGCCACCGTTAACTTAAGTTTGTAGTCATTTATAGCTTTGACGATAGAATCGGACGCCTCAGCCCATTTTTTCTGTTTCGCCAGCGCACAACCCAGGTTATACAGCGCTGCCCGTGCCTCGTCTTCGTTTGGTTTCATATCCAAGCCTAGACGATATAAACGCACGGCCTCGTCAACGTCCTGCTGTTCTTTGAAGACTCGCGTGGCTGTCTCGATGGCATCTCTGGCGCTAGTTGGCTGGTACTGAGGTTTGCTAGCTGATGCTGGTTTGGATGATCGCGCGACCACGAGAAGGCCAGGGAGGCGAGGGGCTACACGGCTAGCAACAAAGCAAGGTCGACAGGCCTGCTGGAGTCGCTTTGCGGAAAGCGCACCGCGCAGATGCGGGTGGCACATAGGCGTCATGTCAAACACCTATAGGGAAATCAGCTCCTAGCAAACGTGGGTATGTTGTGATGAGTGGTATCTGAAAGCCACGATTTTGGATTTACAAAGCGGGCACTGGCTTGGGTAAGGATTTTTAACGCTCTTAACAGGCAAAGCAATATCAGGCACGACACTTGCAAATCGGTATGTTTTAGGAGGAGCTCAAACGTATGCTCGGCTTCGGAGCCTACAGTATGTCTTCGCTGTTCGCTTTGCTGCAATTGCTTCTTGTGATGGAATTCCCTTGCACCAATGTGCTACAGCTGCCTGGTCCTTATCACTCTGCAACTTCTAGCCCAGTCCGGCCCAACCATAGCAACAGCGCTGTCCTTTACTTCCTGCGAACCGAAATGCTTTGACCACGGCACATGCAATCCAGAGACACAGAGGTCTGTAGTTCGTTCTTTGCTTCATGTAATGGTTTAGCGAGTTAAGGAGGGATGCTTCACACATGGGCCCGCCAAAGTGCCTACAACGCTGCTCCTCATTTAATTATCAAATTCGCATCATCTAATACTTGACATAATGCACCTATCCTTACCTTCCGCTCTGGAAGACGTGCCTCCTGGAAACAAGTTAGCCGGCAAGCATTCGTAACGGCTAACGACCTAGGCTTCCGAGCTCACTTTTTCTCCACGAATTCGCAAGAGCCTGCTATGTGTGACCTGCTATGTGTCCAGGTGTGAATGTCCCCTGCTATGGCATGGTTTCGACTGCAGCATCCCGTTCTCGCAACCCAAGGAGCAATGCGCGACGTACTCGCACAGTTTGCTCTCATGCGGTAGCCGCGATCAGACGCAGTGCCTCAACAGCTGCCACGGCCGCGGCTGGTGCGAAGGCGGCTTCTGTCATTGCCACCCCGGTATGTGGCGGGACGCGATGGTTGGTTGGCTACCGTTACCACTTGACGGTTGGCTTGGCGGTTGGCTTCCAACTGGATAGCTAGCTAGAAATGAAAGTAACTGCAGCAGGTAGTCCGCCTGCCTCTACTCCGCAGCAAGACTTCAAATGCCAGCCGCTGCCTGCCTGCAGACCCCTCCCTCCCTAGAGTTTAACTTCGTTGCTTTAAACGTTGGGGCTCCAAAAGATTCCTCCTCCGACGACGACGATGGCTTCGACAGCCCAACATCGTCGCTCTTCTTCTTTTCAATCGTGGCATTTTTCCCACTGCCCTTACTGCAAATTTCGCAAATACCCCTAATCAATTCTGCGCTTTTTTGCGGAGTGGGTCTCATTGCAGCAGGTCACTCCCAGCTCCGCCCCCAGCCAAATGACCATCGGTTCAAACCGCGCAGCACTGACGTTGTTGCTGTTGTGGCCCAAAGCTTTGGCCCCCTGTCTTTAACCCGTCCTCCCACTTCGCACTCCAGGGCACTACGGTGCGGATTGTGCGCTGAGTCTCGGGCCGGATGGCCGCCCGGAGCTGCTGTCCTGGCAGGGCTACACGCCTAGACAGCACGGTGTCAAGATCTACGTGTATGAGCTGCCCCCCTTGACGAACACTTGGTGAGCTCGTTACGAGGTCGCGAAGGAGGGCAGGCAGGGCGGGGGCAGGGCGGACGGGTGGGGGGAGGTGCGTAGGCGGTGGGCTGCAATACAGGTGTCCGCTGGGTGCAGTTAAATTCGCTGCTGCCATGCCACGGCTAGCAAGTAGTCATCATTTGCCCATCACTTGCATCGGACTTTGCATCACCGTGTTTTGTACGTAAAGACAAAAGCACGATAAATACACACGGTACGCTGCAGTTCGACGTGGCTATGTCATTACGTGATAGATCGGAATGCGATCGGTTTCGACGGTGTTAATTTTGGACTTTGCTCTCCATGCTTGCATGTTCACTGGCGATGATGCCGGCGGCGGCTGCGACGATGCCGGCGGCCGTACAATAGGGTGTCTATCGTACGCTTAGGTAAGTGGGGGTAACGAGTGGGTGGGTTAGCAAGCGGGTAGAGGTGAATGGATTAGACATACACGCATACAGACAGACAAGTAGACTGGCAGCGGTCGTGGGGTATGTGAGATGCACAACACACCTTCTTAGACTTCACCCTGTCCGGAGCCCTCTAGGATCCCCACCTCCCGGGGAGCTCTTCCTCGCCGCCTTTAGGAAGCAGCCCAGCCCAGCCCAGCCCAGCCCAGCAGCTCACGCACCGCCTCCACACCCGCACAACCTCCATTGACACGGTCTTCAGCTCCCTGTTGACTCAAGACCAGACAGGCATGGTAGACATCAGTGATTTTTTTTTCATTTAGGGGGGGTCTCAATTTATTCCAACCTAAGTAACAAAGTTGCTAGCGTCGCCGTTCTGTATTCCTTAAGAGTGGGGCGCTGGGGGGGGCTACGCCCCCCCCAGACCCCCCCCCCGATAAATTACAACTCCCCTCATAGACCAAGAGGCACGCACTGCGTTGGCGCGTTTTCGTTCATGTGCGCACGATCAGGTAGTCGCTCTTCTTCATCAACGTGCAGGGGATGCAGCGCACTTGGTCGTGCACTTCTCCGGCGTCCACGTCAGCATGCACAGGCTGGGCCCAGGGATACCTGGCGGCCCAGGCAATCTGCCATCTGTGGGGATTTTCCTTCTGCTTGTCCCGCCATGCACCGTCGCTCATGCCCTTGCGGATGCGCTGTGTCTGAGCCCGCTTGGCACTGCGAGCACTCGGGTTGGGCGCCTCGCCGCATTCGTTGTTGTCAAGCTGATTGGGTGACAGCTTGCGCTTATGCTGATCACAACCGCCATGGAAGGCAGGGGTAATGGCGCCCGTGTCATCGGTCGCCGCTGGCAGCAACATTGCCGATGCATTACCGACAACAGCACCGCCGTCCCAAACGCCTTTATCAGGAAAAAATTTAGACTTATCTTGCTGTTTTTGTGTTTGTTCGGCGTTCAAGTCGTTGCCTTTTGCGTGTTTGTCTATGGAAGGACCGGTCATACATTCTGCTATGCCGCGTTGACTCACGGGCTTGACCTTCTTACGGCCCCTCATATCTATTTTATGATCGATAATACTAAGTTCTGCACACTACGGAACAATCTGGCAGCAATGGACGTTTTTGGCTGAAGGAATGAAAATGTACGGATCGGCCTCACTTTGTTCCTTATTTCCAAAGGCCAAAAAGGCTTCTTTATTCCTTAAAAGTAATATATTACTTAAAAAAAACACTGGTAGACATGCGTACATGCGTACATGCGTACAGGCAGACAGTGAATCTGCTGTAGGGTCCAATCACTGGTGACATCCAAAGCACTTACACGCGTTGCCACTGCCACTGTGTCACAGACCTCTCCCCGCATATACATCCCCCTTCCCCCCCTTCCCTACATCACACAAAACAAAACGAAACCGAACCTCCCCCAGATCGGCCCTTAGTGGCGGTGCTGATGCAACGGCTGCTGAGTTCGGGGGTACGAACCGCCGACGGCGATGCCGCCGACTTCTTCTTCATCCCGCTGGTCATGCGCACCAAGGGCCAGTCCGCCAACCACCTGACGGCGGTTGTGTCGTACATTCAGCAGCACTGGCCCTGGTGGGGCCGTTATGGGGGAGGTCACAGGCATCTGCTGGTGGTACCGGGTGAGTGAGTGAGTGATGTAGTTGGAGGTGCTTTAAGGTGGCGGGCAGGGGTTTAATGAGGTTGGTCCGCGTTGGGTGGGTGCATGAGGGTGTGGCAGGTGAGGGTGTGGGTGGGACGTCTTGCCCTGCCTCCCCGATGTTGTGGACGACGTCGTTAGCACCCTTAGCCCGTCAGCGTCCTTAGGCCCTGCTAGTGTCTGGACTTCCCGGTTTGGCCGGGTCATTCGCGTTCTCATCTTTGCTGCCTTATCCCTACCCAGTATCCTAACCGGCCGGTATTGTACTCCATCCACCTTCTCGCCCGCCCTTCCAATCAACTTTTACCGAGACCCCGTTATGACTGACTCTCCGATCCCACCGGCAGCCGATCTGGGCCGCCGTATGCTTCCCGAGGAACTTCTCAAGCTTGTTGAGAATGTGACCTTCCTGACTCACTGGGGCTCGCACACCAATCACAGTGAGGGCGCCTGGGTGGAGTCGCACCGGCCAGGAAAGGTAAAAAATAGCGGCATGACGGCACCAGTACGTGTGTCTTTATGTCGATATCTGCTTATGTAAGCAATAAGCAATGGATATGATGGGTTGGTCGTTGGTCTTGACGGTCCCATGAATATAGCGCCTCAACGATGAGGCGTGAACTGGGGTGGGTGGTAGTGGGTGGGTGTTAGTGGGTGCGTGGAGGAGATGTAGAGCAACCTCTTGGGGGCGGCTTTCCTTCCTTGGCGAGTGGGAAAGAGGGAAAGGCGCTGGGTCGGTGGTGTGGTGTGGGGGAGGCGAGGGACCAGAAGCAAGGGGTGTCCGGGGTTGGCTGAGAGGGTGGCGCGGCAGGTAGGACCTTTGTGTGTTACAAGGTCGTGGGGTGGGTACCCCGTACCTTCAAAATGTGGGCTGCCAGATCGCCTATAAGTAACTATGTGTGTATCTTTATGTATAACAGTGCCCGCGCAAGTGTCACACCTAGGACAGCTACTTGCAAAATTGGACCTGACGGGTCATGGAGGCCATGGAGGCAGGGGAGGGGCAGGGGAGGTCTCGAGGCAGGCGGGGAGAGACTTGAGAGCAGACCAGCAGGTGAAGGAGTGGTAGAGGCTTGTACGAGATAGGACTTATTGTTTCTCCTGCATTGGTGATATGACGAATGATGGAAATTTGTTGTCGTCATTGCTTTGCTGCTATTGCGCCTGTTGCTGATGCCCCCAGGACATCGTTGTTCCACCGCTGCACAACGCAGACGAGCCCATTGTTTTTTCGCCGCTGCACACGCTCCACAGCAAGCGAAGGCGGCAGCGGACAAGTGGCCTGTTCTTCTCCGGTGAGTGAGGTGGGTGGGGCGGGTGCGTGCATGTGTATGGTGTGTGTTTATGGGCGTGTATGTGCGTGTGTGTTCTTGGTGAAAGGAGCATGATTAAGTTTGCAGGAGGAGCCACCGGGGTTGGGGTGGGCTTCCCCGGGAGGTGGGTGGAAGACGAGGGAATGTGAGAGAGAATGCTCCCGAACATCTTAGCTGTCATATGCCTTTTAGAAGGGAAACACCCAGCACCTAACTACGTATGTCTGTACGTGTGCGTGCGGGTGCTAGAAGGACGATATGCGTGTGCGGGAATGAATGCACGTGTGCATGTTACCACACGGCCCCACGCTGCCTCCACACGCTGCACGCATGAGCGCCGGACCGACCGTCATCGGGGCCCTCCATGCCCTCCATAGCCACACGTCTCAAACCCCTACGCTCCACAATCCTTTACTCTCTGGTTCAGGGCGCATCTGCAGCGACGGCAGCGAGCCTCATCGGGGCCGCTGCCGCACAAACTCCCAGGGCAACGTACGACACAAGGTACGAAACCGTGGACACGTGTTGCCCTGCCGTACCATGACATCGCTTGATTTCACATCAGCCATTTATCTTCCTAATCAGTACTGTGGCCCTGTGATGCCGTGGAGGAGAGTCGGGTGGGTGTGACGTGTGGATGGGGGGGTATGTTTGGGGCGTTATGTGCCGGACAGATGCGCCAACACGAATCTTAAATCCTGCGTCGTCAGGCTGGGCGTGGTTCGCACCGGCGCGGGCCCGGGTTCTGGGTGTCCCCCGCGTGTTTGTGTTTTGCTGTACAGGTTTTGAAGCACCATTGGAACCGCACCACATGGACCTTGACTACACGTGCCAAGGCCTACGCCTCGGCGCTCTCCTCCCACACCTTTTGCCTTTCGCCGGGTGGCGGTGGTTACGGGCGCCGCAGTGTACAGGCGGCCGTCATGGGCTGTGTGCCCGTACTAATCGGGGATGGCCTGCACCAGCCCTTCGAACCAGAGCTCGACTGGTCCCAATTTTCCATGAGCGTGCCTGAACAAGACATACCCCATCTGCACACCATCCTGGAATCGATGAACAGCTCGACGATTGCGGCCATGCAGGTGCGGCTGTGTGCAGGTCGTGGTGGGGCCCCGGCCCGTGCGTATACACATCGGTGTGTGCAAGGGTAACAACGGTAACATGAGGGCGCTTCTTTCATTTAGGATGAGAGAACGTGCTTTTGCATTGCTTGCGACTGGCTGCTGTACTTGACCGCCATATGTTCAGCGTGATCGCACATCGAGCCGCTCTCCCCCTCTCACCCATATGCGCTGACCGACAGGAGCAGCTCCGATGCGCCGCACAGCACCTGTATTACAGCACCACCTTTGGGGAGGTGATGGGCGAGGACGGAAGATACGGTAAGGGATATCAAAGACCGACAACAGTGCAACACGGGGCTCGGGTCGGGCTTCCCTCGATCAGGAAGGGATTGGAGGACATGGCGCACAGCCCTGCATGGCTTTGTCAAGACCGGGTTCCGGGGCAAGGATGAGCAGCACGGCTCTGCCACCGAATATTGGATCCCACATGGGTGTTGGATGGGTACACCCGTGCTACACATGGCGGTATGCTTGCCCGGCCATACTGCCGCGCGCCCATGCTCGTGTGTGCCACAAGCAGCCGCTGCAAGCACTCATTGGGCCAGTGCTTGCCCGTTCCGCATGTAGACGCGTTCGAGACGCTGATGGAGGTGCTCCGCATGCGGCGGGACCATCCCTCCCTGGACCCCAGTGAGTACGCTCGGACGGACAGCAGGTTCGCCGACTTCATCAACTGCAAGCTAGGTGAGGGTGTGCACAGGTGCCTCGGTGGGGGTGGCAATAGCTTGCGGCGGCCGCAGTTCGGCGGCGGTATAGTGGGGTACATGCAGCATGGTGCAATGCGTAATGGCAGCGGGGTAGGTAAGGTAAAGGATCTCCGGACCTGCGCCACCTTGACTAGGAGCTCCCGTTGCTACCTGACTGTTCCATTTGCCTGCCAGCAAGCAACAGGCCGGACACGTGCTGCTGCCGACGCGTCCTTGTGACTCTTTTCCGCGCTGCCTCATCCCTCATCTTCCCTCGCACTCCGTGTGTTGTTTTCCTGTCGCCTGTATTCCTCCGACACTTCTCCGGTCATGTTGTCATACCTCTGATCTGGCGGACGACACACAGAGCCCACGGGGGGCCCAGTCTCGCTGTGCACACAAAACAGGATGATCATGGCCGCCGATGGGCGGAACCTGCGGCCCTGTCGCCTGGAATTCCCTGGGCTGTCAATGCGGAGCATGCACATGTTCTACAGCTGGCCGGGAGGAGCCGTTTGCGGCAGCAACAGGAGCGTGGCGGCCTGCCCGCGCAGCTGGGTTTGAACCGTCTATACCGTGGTCCCTCCGTGATCCGCGGACAAGGGAGCATGTACCAGTAAGCGTACACGCATGCAGTGTGGAAGGATTGCACATGGCACGACAGCACCATGCATGCAAGCAACTGAAGGAATTGCGTATGGCGATTGTGTGGGCCAGGTTGGAGGAGACGGATGGGAAACAAGGTGAACACCGTGATCTTGTGGAACGATGGGACGGTATGGCAGCCGCGATCCGGATGCTTTTTGTTGTCGTGCATAAACGGAAGGTTTTACATCGACTCGGCGTAAACATCATGCATGACTTAATCTCCATGCCAAATGCTTATGTCGCAAGCGAGCTGAAGTATAAGGATAGCACCGTATTGAAACATGGACCGGTATGTTGCCGTTTTGGGTAGATATAACGCATTTCCAAGTCCCGTCTACCACCTCCTATATCTACTTTTGAGCCACCACTCCGGCAGGAGCTCACCACTGACCTATAAATTTTGTATGTACGCGTGTTCCTGGCACAGAAGTAGAACTTTGTTGGTCATTGTCAAAAAGATTTTCGACGAGACGAAATGCAATGTTATAGCTTGGCCACCAAACGCCAAAAGTCAGACACGAAGACACAAAGGATCACACCCCCTTAAGAATCAGCACATCTGCACATTCTGCATAGGCACGCTGTAAAATTATCTCTTCCACAGCCTACTGTAGAATGCATGGATCTCGCTCCTAATAACTATTGTCAGCAGTCACAGGTCTTATTCTCCAAGTAGGTTAAGTTATAGGTCCAAGAATTCGTGCCTTCCGCCACGGCCCCGTAATTCCACCGTACAGCCCACCTGCCAGCCAGTCCCCATTTAGCCTGCATCATCGCAGGAGCGGCTTCGAGGCAGCTCCCTAGTCCTGCTTGGTAACCCCCGCTTCCTGACTGCGGCTTGGCAAGTGCAGCAATGCACCCCCGGGACTGCCCCTCACAACCGCTTCAGGCCCTTCTTCACCTTTGCCATAGTGCTGGTGGCGCCTGCCGTTGCCGTGTTCTTACCCTGGTCCGACTTCGCCTTTTTAAGGGTTGGTGACGAGCTTTCCGTCGCACCCTCCTTCTCCTTCTTGGACGTTTCCGAGCTGCTGGTTCCCCCCGCGTTCGCGCCACTGGTTGTGAGCGGCGTGGGTGTGGGACGCTTTGCCATACTCATTCCATGAATATTGGTCATTAGCCGTGCACGTTTGTCGTATTCGTCGTAATCCTCCAGCAAGAGCTTGCCTGCCTCCTCGTTCAGGGCCGAGTCGGGGAATGGCTGGATAAGGAGGCACCGAATGACCTGCGGGCCGATGGTTCACGTCCAGTGAAGGGGTAAGTGAAGTCGGATAACGTAGAAGCCGCGTGGACAGGGACCATAACGAAAGGCACGGTATGTTTATACCGAACCTAGCACAGGTTGATAAATTCCTTTATAACTGTTGCCCGTCGTTATTTGAATTGCGTGAACACGGAGCTGTGGTCAAAGCCCAAGCTAGGCGCCCGATTTTGCAAAAAATAGTACGAAAATTAAGATATGCTCCACATATGTCCTGTCGGTGCTTCGGGCTCACCATAAAGACGTGTCGCAACGTCGTCTCGCTTGTCCAGTCCCGCTTCAGTACGTTCACGCAAATGTCACCGTTCGTGGAGATGTTCGGATGGAACACCTTGGTAATGAAAAAGCCTTTTGGCGGCGAGGCTGGAAAGTCTGACGGCAGCGTTAGCCGCATCCGAAACACCCCATTTTCATAAGGCGTTCCTTGTGGCCCGTCAACTTCTGCTTGAATGTCTGTTAAGTTCTGCTCGTTGATGAAAACGCGGATACCTTCGGCAGGGTTTGTCACAAGGTCTTGCAGCTCCTTCATGAGCCGCTTCAGGACTTGCGTCGACAGCTCCATGCGCCACGCTAACGAAATAAGTTATGTTTTTGAGACCAACAGTCTGCCTATGCAAATACAAACTATGTAGAGGTACCTGGTATGAATGCAGGTATAGTAAAAAGTATGTATACAAAGTATGAATAGAGACTGATATTAATTTCGTTATAACCCAGTCTGAGCCGTTTGAGAAGTGATTCTGAATTATGGCAGCTTTGACCAAAGATCACCAAGTTCCATGACGTTGTACAAATAGGACAACGCGCTGCGATGCATAATCAGGGAACTTTTCTTACCGGCTTATGCTTAAGAAACTACTCTTGACTGTATTTGTCTCTTAGACGGAATTGAAAATGCAGCTGCGTCAAGCACGGGCGTCGGTTCAGCCGCAGCGTGCCCGGACCCGGACCGTGATTGTTGCACGGGCTTCCAAACAGCCCAATGCTGTGTTCAGCGCTTCGGTGGCAGGCTTTGTGATGGGCATGGTGAGCGGCGGGTAGTTTGCTTGCGTTTCGGGCCAGTGAATCTCACGCAGTCCACACGATCTCATTTAACTGTATGGGCTTAGCTTTGCACATAATATGAATATCGTATCAGATGCTATCTACTTCGAGGATCTTGATTTCGTCGCGCCAACTGTCTGCATCGGACCTGTGTTACCCCTGCAGAGCTTGGCCGGAGCTCCAATGTCCCTGGCAAGCGACTACGCAAGCAGTGTTGCGCGTGAGCAGGAGCTACTGGCTATCATTCGGTCTCGCAACGCGCAGCCTGAAGTGCAGGTGACTAAAGCCTGTAGGCCGCCGTAATCTCTACCCGTTTCCTTTGCCCATGCCCCGTTCTCGCCCCTATCCAAGCCAGTCCCATGCATGCCAGCTGTAACCATGCCTCATGCCGTGCCTTCTTGCAGGCGGAGGCATCGGAGGTAACCGTAGTGGCCCCGACGGTGGATGAGGCGCCTGTTGTCAGGCCAGTTACCCCGCCGCCTGCACCAGCCGCGGTTGCGGTAGTGGAGGAGCCGCCCGCCCCGGTCGCGGTTGCGGTAGTGGAGGAGCCGCCCGCCCCGGTCGCGGTTGCGGTGGTGGAGGAGCCGCCCGCCCCGGTCGCGGTTGTGGTGGTGGAGGAGCCACCTGCGCCTGTAGTGGCTGAGCCACTGGCTGCCGCCGCCCTCGAGGTGGTCATAGAGCCGAAGGCTGCAGCTGTGACGGTGGAGGAGCCCACCGTGGCGCCTCCGCCTGTTGCAGCACCGGTTGCGGATGTAGTGGCCGCATCCGAGCCCGCCCCGGCTGTTACCACTCCACCTGCGCCTGTTGTCGTGGCGCCGGCACCGGCGGCAGCCCCCACGGCGCCCGCCTCAGGTAGGGCCGCTGCTGCTCAACCGGTTGTATTTGAATGGATGCACTGGAATTGGGCTTCAGGCGGGTTCCATAGAAAGATCATGTACTGGTGCATTCCCATCCAGATTATATGGCTGAACACGAATGTCTGAATTCTGAATGTATTGCCGCTTCCCCTGGTGTGTGTGTGTGTGTGTGTGCGATGTCCTTTCGGTGTGGCTGACACACAACCGAGGCCATTCCCAAAGAGTCGGCCACGAGGCTGAGACGATGGAGTTGCTAAGTGTTTAGCTGGGGGTTGATGCTGTGTTTGCTATGCTTCCATGCGTGCAGGGAACACACTGCTGGTTGTGGGTGCAGCGGTTGTGGCCATTGGCGCGGCTGCTGCTCTGAGCAGTAACGGGTCAGTCACCGCGGAGGCATCCTCGCCGCCGGCTCCTGCCCCGGCAGCTGATGCACCACCAGCCGTTGCTCCCACCACTGAGGAGAAGCCCACGGCTGAAGGCACGAGCTCACAGTAGGTGCTTCGGTGCTGGGCATCGGGACAGCCGCAAGATGAACCGAGATTTTCCGAGTCGAATTGTTACAATTATATTTCTTAATAGTACTGTCGACGGAGTGGATATGTGGTATACGTGCGAGGTTGGACGGTAAAAGCTTTTGCTTGCCTGATGGCTTTGTTTAATTTTGACTCCTTTTATCGCCGGGGTAGCCCCATCAGCATCATGTAGTACGCCTCTCTCGCACCCGTAGACCCCTCAGAGGCCAGATCGATATCAGGCGTGAACCGATTGATTTCCGACAAGGATGGCGTTGTCGTTGTTGCAACAGTCGCTAGGCAATCCTCACTCGGTCGCTGATCATAAGTGGAAGAGGCTGTATTTTTCGTTGCTATTGTAGGCGTTGGTAATGCTTCCTTGTAGCTCGTCGGTGGCTGAAAGAACGATGGCCAGGAAGAGGTGATGATGCGAACGCCTTCTGCGAGCCCTTTTGCGCAGCTGCAGGTTGGAATAGGACTAAGGCTAATGCCATGTAAGACAGTAACCGCCACTTTGTCCATGCAAGCCGTGCTCCTCTGACACCTACTACCTCGCTAAACAGCACGCTTTAAGTACTGGATAATATGCTGTTGCAGTGGCACAAGCAACATTCAATCTGTTTCAACATGATAAACTGAGGAAGTCGTCGGTGCAGTAATATGTAGTACCAGGACGACAGTTTCATCGTAACACAGTTGTTGTGAAGCGGTCCAGAGGGCAATAACGCGGTCCAATTTGCCCGTGCTCACCTCTTCAAGGTAAAAAGGCCCGGCTCTCGGGGGCCATCCATCCATCCCTCGGCTCCAACACCTCCCTACATATACCCCATCCGCTCAGAGGCCCACAACTCCAACAGCTCCAACCACAACCTGCCCACCGTCCCCAACTGCAACTTGATGAACCTACACTCCCCCGAAACCCTGCCGGGTCCAAGCACGTCTAAGCTTCATCGAGGTCTGGCTAGCCATGTTCCTTTCTTATTCAGCCCCACCCGCTTCCTTTACCGTGTCCCCATACCGCCCCATGGCGAGTCAGACCACTAGTTCAACACCCCTCACCTCTACATTTTCCGGCGGCTTCCCCCCTCCCTCCCGCTTCATCATTTATAGATGCTACCACATGCCCGCGGCCACAAATCCAGAACAGTTGAGCGTTGCTTTTTTCCTTGGCGTCATTATCTATGTACAGCTGGTCCACAATGCTGAATGATCATTCCTCCCCTCCCCTGCAAACACACACGCGCGTAAGCCCCCGCAGCTCCCATCCCCTACTCCACCTTCAAACCCAGCTTTTAACCCCCCTCCCTCCCCACCACCACATTCCCCCCCGACATTGCCACACAACCCCACCCCACCCCTCCTCATTAATCTCTCAATCCGTCCGTTGCCGCTTCGCCGCCTCCCCCGCCTCCTGCTCCCGCGCACACGACGGACATACATACACGCGTCCCTGGCCCTGCGCGTAATCCTTGAACATGCCGATGCCGGGTCGCTTATCGCATGAGAAATGCGCCCAATTCTCGCAGGCGTCGCAACAAACCCAGTCCGAAGACACCGCATCGCCGCCGTTACACAACACGCAGCGGTCCAGCGTCACATCCTCGGGGTGCGCCAGCTCGTATTCCCACAGGTAGTTCTGGTAGTGGCGCTTCAGGGCGTTGCCCACACCGGTCTGCTTGTTGGTCTCCGTCCAATTGCGCATGCGGGGAAAGACCTGGTGGTGCAGGTGGGATAGGAGGTGGGGAAAGACGAACCACGAACGAGTGAAGCTGCTGCTGCCAGGGCAAGAGTGTACCAGAAGTAGGACTGACCAAAAGACGTTCTTGAAGGAGGCGACTCGGGATGACGTAGTGAAGATGATGTCGGAAAACTAACTACCTTGCCGCCAAGACTAAAATAAGCGCGGAAGAAAAGCAGTAATGCCAAGCCGTAAAGACGTGAAGGTAGGATCGGAGGGGGGGAGGTGAGGAAGGAAGGGGGAACGAGACGCCGGGCGAAAAAGCGGTCATTCAAGGGAAGGGATGACCGAGGGGGTGCGTGCGGGGGTGTACGTTTGTTTCCGGTTGGGCTAGGGAAGCGGGAAAAAAGCCGACTCCACCCTCCCCCCCCCATCACCACCACCACAAGAGCCACCCTTCGGTGCCCAGTACCACCCCCACCCCCACCCACCTGGCCCTTCCAGTTGATTCCGTTCCCCACGCGGAAGCCGCCCCGCGTCACCACCTCCCGGTACAGACCGAACAGGTCCAGGGAGACCCCGTTGAGGACCGCCTCGGGGAAGCGAACTCGGTCGATTGGCTTGCCTCGCAGCAGCGTCAGGAACTCCACTAGGTCGTCATAGAACTGGGACTCAGTGCACGAGGACAGTGGAGGGCGCCGACACACGTAGCCCTGGGTGTTGGTGTGTTTTGGTCAGGTTGTTGTGGGGGTGGGTGGGTGGGATGGGGGGAAGAGGGGGTTGATATGGGACAGGTGGGGACGGGTTTGGGAGGAGGCGTTTTGCTAGGATGGAGATAGAAGGGCATGCCAAGGGGTTTGAAGGGATTTTTTGGGTTTTAGGGTTTTCAGGATGGTCACACATGCACGCGGATCCACCCCTCGTCGTGTTGCAACTGTCTCATCAGCTCGCGGCTCTGCTTGTTTTAGTCATTAGCAGTGTGTGAGCGATGCACCTGTTATAACGCACGTAACACACAAAAAGATACACACAAACACACTGGCATCGCATTTTCCAACACCCACCGGCAAGTCCCCCGTGAAGTCGGACGGCTTGTCAGGTAAAGGACCCGTGGGTCGCCCGGGACCACGGGAAAATGGCTCGCCGTTGCCGATTAAGCCCGCCGTACCGTCGGCGCCGGAAGCCGAGGGACCATCGGCCGCGGCACCGTCGGGGCTGTCCGGTGATGCGGCGCCGGCGCCGCCCGCGGCAGAACAGCCAGCGCCGCCGCTGCCACCTACGTGCTGCAAGTGACCGTACAGTGCGTAACCCTTAAGCGCGTCATTCCCAAAGTAAGCGCCGCCGTTGGCGGCTGCCATCGTCAGGTCCATCGGCGCCGCCTCACCCCCACCGCCGGCTTCAGCGGCCACGCAGCTCTGCGGCGGCGGCGGCGGCGCCGCCGCCGCCGGCGACGGCAGCACCTCCCCTGGCGCCGCCGGCGGTGCTGCCGGCGCCGGACCCGAACCAGTCGTTGCTATTAGCGGCAGCAATTGCGGCGCCGCCACCGAGGCCCAGCTCCCTGCGATGAGTACTTCGTACCGTCGTACGTCGGCGGCTGTGAACACACCATCCGCCACGTTGCCCACCGCCGCCACGCCCAGTGCGGCCAGGGTGCGGTACCGGGGATCCTGCAGGGACCCACGCCATCACTTCGAGGCTGGTGGCCACCACCCTTGCCGGACAAAGACCAGGCGACATGCCCGGGCTGCGTGTTTCAAGACCTGGGAACCCCCTGACTGTAATCAAGCCCCCCGCCACCTCCACGCCGCCAAAACCCTCCACGTGACTTCCCTTTTCCCCTGCGGCCGCTCCCCTAACCACGCCGTACACCCGCACAGGACCGACGCGTCTCTTCCCCCGACTTGCCCCATCCCCCAAAACAAAAACCCTCTCTTACCCCTCCGGGCCCTCAGCCCTAGAACCGCCCACATTACCTCCCCCTCCCCCTCCCCTTCCCTCCCCCAACCAGCCAGCCAGGCCCAAACCCAGCGCCACAGCCGCACCCCTCTAGCAGCCCTACAACCCGCCCACCTTGCACAGGGACCTGAGCACCTCCACAGCCCACACGCTGGTAACAGCCACCGTGTCCATAACAGGCAACCCCCCCGCGACCAGCCTGGAGCTCCGCGGCGCCGGTAGGGACAGTCCGGGAGGCGGCAGGCGGAACTGCAAACCCACGCTGTCCGTCACCAGGGTCATCCTAAGAGGGGCCGGCGGGCGGGGTGGGGGGGGGGGCCGCGTCGGAGGCTGAGAAATTGTTGAGCGAAACGTACATAATTTCGGGGATCTCGGGGATTTCGTCATGGTAAAAATGCAAAGAATGAATGAGCTGCCAAAAAAGGTGGGGGAAGGAGAGAGAGAGAGTTAGAGAGATGTAAATGGAGTCAAAAGAACGGGGAAATATGCACAGCGTATATGCACAAAACGTACGAAGAGCAGTTGTACCGAACGGCCAAGTTTGGGACTCGGGGGATCGGTTTGGGGCTAAGGTGGTGTGGTGGTGAGTTGGGTACATCGTTTGGAAGTGTGGGAAGAAGCCGAACTTCCTCTTAGCCCTTGGGATACGGGCTAAGAGCTAGGAGGGCAGGAACGGAGGAAAGCGACGTGATAATGCTCGATACATGACACACACACACACACACCTACTCGTACACATACACATACACACACACACCTACTCCGCGTTTCCCGTCCCCCAGTTATCCCCCCAGCCAACCCTTCCCTCCCTCCTCGTTCGTGGTTCGTCTCCCCCCCCTCCTCCCCCTTTCCTCCCCCCCCCTTCCCCACACACGCACCTCAGCGCATGCTCCACCAGCGCCTCATGTTGCAGCACCGAGGGGGGTGTCCCCAACACCACCCCCGCACTGACGCCGCTGGCGGTCAGGAACTGGCACCGCACCGCGCGACTCCCCGCGGGCAGGTTGCGGGGCAGACTGTCTACGGCGCCGAGGGACACTAGCTGCATGAGCAGGGGGGGAGGAGGAGGGTTGCGGGGGAGGGGAGATGGAGGGGAGGGAAGGAAGGAAACACATGAAACGCAAAAAACGGAGGAGGACGCAGCTGCCTGCCGACTGACGTCCTTAACTGACGACCCAAACTGCTGAACAGGGTTCCGTCCCAAGGGGTGGATGAGGTCTCACAGCCCGGTGGTGTACCGGAATTAAGTGTCCAACACGGGGCCCTGCGGGTCAAGGCAGGGGAGAACCACATCACCACATCACAGAACAGCCCTCTCACATCTCCGTCACGCAGATAATTACCTCACCTCACCCTCGCCCCGTCGCCTAGTCCGCACACACACAGTCTTCTGCACATATACACAATCTTGCGTAGCCTTGGCCATTACTCGTACTCTTCCGTACATATTCATCCGTACCTTTAGCGTACGGACCTCCATGACCAACAGGGCTCTGAGAGCCTCCCCGAGAGAGCTCAGTCGTCGGGCGTCTATGAGGGAGGAGGTTCCCACCAGCAGCAGCCGCAACTCCGCGCGGGGTGCCAGCAGCCGTACATCCATCCAGCCTAGACGTGGGATTGAGCGCAGGGAGGAGGGGGGGGAGGGGTATCACATGCAAGAAGCTGAGAAACGAACTGCCGGCGTCCCAAGGGAGTGAGAGGAGGAAGGCGGAGCGGGGTGGGAGGGGGGGTGTAACCGCAGGGAGAAGAGGAAAGGCGTGGAGGGCTCATCAGATTATCATTATTATTATTATTATTATTACTATTATTATTACTATTATTATTACTATTATTATTACTATTATTACTATTATTACTATTATTACTATGATGATGATGATGATGATGATGATGAGGAGGAGGAGGAGGAGGATGGCAAGTAGCATCGAAAGTAGTCATTGTTCCAAGGCAACGAGAAGGGAAAAAAGATATGGGTAAGGGAACGGGGTGGGGGGGAAGGAAACTGCATTCATCTCCCCTTCCCCCGCCTTCTCCCCTCCGCCGCCGCCAAGTCCGAACAGCCCTCAACCCACCCGGAAAGGACTTGAGCCCGTGCTCGTCCAGCTCTAGCCCCGGAACCACCACAGCCGGAATGGACGAGCTGTCTGGCAGGGCCGGCCATTCAGCCGACACAAACGCCGGCAGCGGCGGCGAAACGTAGCCTCCACCCCCGTCGCCATGGCTAGCGGCGCTACCTCCACTGACACTAATGCTACTGCCGCTACAGCAGCAGTGCGCCTGTGCGCCGTGGCTGGCCATTGAAAACGCCTCCGGTGGCGTAGCGGAGGAATTGAAGAGGCCGGAGAGGAAGGTGGCGGCGAAAAAGGACGCCACAGCGGCGGGGATGGGCGAGTTGGCTGGCCACACCAGCACGTGCGTGGCGCCTCGGTGGTGGAGAGCGGGACCTGCGGGGACGCATTAGCAAAGAGGAGGAGGAAACATTCGCAAACTTCAAAAGATGTCCCCAACTGCCAACGTCCCAAGGAGTAACCCCACGGGCTGGTTGGGTCGAGGGGAGGTGAGGGGAGAGGAAGACGAACCACGAATGAGTGAAGCTGCTGCCAAGGAGCAGGACTGACCGGGGTGTGTGTGGGAAGGAGGAGAAGGGGGGAGGGGTTTACATGAGGGGTAAAGGAGGAGGGCCTGTGCGTCGGGACCAGAGGGCTGGAAAAGGGTCTTGCACGTGCAGGTGGGACACACACACACACACATACACACAAACACACACACAAGCACACACGCACACACATACACACATTTCGTAGCCACGCTATGCAATGGCTTTCTCTGTGTCAACCTTTCTGCTCGGGCACAATCAAACTGGCTGACCAGCCCTAGTCCTCTCCTCCTCGGCATGAGCACACGACCCCCTGCCCGGAAACCAATCCCGTGCTCTCGGGTGCGCGCCGGAAGTCGGGCAGCCCCTCTGTACCCCCCCCCGCCTTCTTCTAGACCATAGAACGCCGTTGCCGTCACACCGGTCACTGCCTCAACCGGCGTTGCGCGGCATTTCTGCAAGAAAGCCCCGGCATCGACCCATGGGTCAGTTGGTGAAGCAGGACACGCAGCTGACAACCCGTAGTACAGTATGTGGAGCAGTGCTTACAGCAAAGTTCAGTAAGGGGATCGAACCGGATGCATATGTTGTGGCTTGTGGGAAATCGTCCGGTCGTCCGATGAGTTGAGCGACCCGGCAAGGCGTCGCTCAACTCATCGAACATACGCGAACCTCGCAGCTCACATCCCTGCCACGTCCTCATTATTATTATGTGACACTGTTTACTCCATTACAATGGGCCAGGACCCGGAGCACAAAAGTGGATCATTGGGTCCGCATTGAAGGGTATCAGCCGACCCATGGGTCAGTGGGTCCGCAACGATTGTTTGCTTGCGGTGTTGCGGTAGTGTGGTGCCTCTTCCTGCGCCTCCTTGCGGTTTCCTTCTTATCCGTATGTCATAGTCTATACAATATTAGTTCTTCTCGCTCGCTTCAAAGGCCTTACATGAGAGGTTCGCGAAAGGTTTTACAGAATATGCTCTTGAGGTACTTACATTGGAATTCAAATGCAAAACCGGTTTTTTTATATACTCATATTCTCATTTTTAAAGCACTCACCGAAATGCGCCGACACCTCCGCGTCCACGTACGCTACCTCAGCACGTGCTTCCTCGAGTGCCGTTAAAAGCGCCGCTTCGCCCAGGTCCTGCCCATCTGTATCAGCACAACCAGCCGGTGCAGCGGTAGCGGCAGGATGAGCGGATCGATGTCCCGCCGGAGGTTTGGGCGGTTTGAAGGGGTTTTTGTGGGTTTAGGGGGCGGGCCTGGAAAAGCAGGAGCTTGCTCATATCGCCGGGAACGAAATCCTCCTCCTCCCTCCCCCCAGCGGGACCCGGTGTCAGCGTATGTTTGTTCTCAGGCTTACTACAGAACCCGCCTAGCAGTAACGGAGCTGCAATGATGGAGTCCAAGGGCTTAAAAGAAAGGTGTACAGCTCGAGTCCGAGACCGGCTCTCATGGACTTGGGTTTGGGTCCGGGCGTGTCGTTGGCCTTTGAACTCTCTATATGGCGACTGTGGATTCTCTACATGATGAGAAACATGGATGTCGGGCGCACAGGTGGTCCGTTTGGATGACCTGCTGTAGGAGATCTTCGTGCCATGTATCCATATATGGCCGGCAGCGGTTTCAAGCACCTCCGAATAGACGTGATCTGGTGGCGTCTGATCTGGGTTGCCCCAAAAGCTGCTTTCCCCTCGGTTTTTTAAAGGCCCTACCGCGAAACTGGAAGGGCCCAACCGTGCTTGTCGCCAGCTGGCCTTCATGCTGCAATGACGACCCGCAGCAGTAGACAAGGTTTGGTCGCTTTGCTTCGACCGCGTCCCTAAATTCCGCCAACGATGGGTTGTAGATGACCGACACCTGGGACACGTCCGCGTGACGAAAGTGGGCTCATGGAGTCGTCCGGCGTGGCACCGTGTGTGCGGGTGACGTCGGCTGCCTTTGGCGCCGTTCACAAGAAGGGAGAGTAAACAGCTGTGGACAAGCGAATACCTCGACATTAGGCTGGCGTGCCTCGGATGCTGCCAAGTCCAGCAGGACTGAGAATACTCCAATTCGTCCCTCTGGTTCGCTGGAGCAAGCCAGTACACGCCATCTCGATACGGAAGACATAGTGTCCTATTCAGGGTGCATCATGGTTATCCTTAAAAAGCAGGGCGATGACCTACAGTCCAATCAACAACGTTGTTTCCTGCAAGATATATGTTAGCAAGCGCTTTTTCGAGATGGTACCGAGGCAATACACTTAACGCAAAAATTATTGCAAAAACATAGGGTTTGGTTCGTTTAACGAATGCTGGTTCCGGAGCCGCACGGTTTGTTTTTTCATTTTTGTCAAACTGCACAGTCTGAATTTCGTGTCACAGTCGATATATACATATACATCAGGGACAAATCTACCCTCTGTACACATCAATTCTGTTTAAGCATCGCGCCATTCGCTAGTGTGTGTCGTTTGACGGCCGTGCCGCGTAGACTTATGAACCTCCCTTAACGGAAAGCACCCGAGTCTTCCTCAAGACACGTCTTGAGCAACTGCATACCTAGATTCTGCTCGTGAGCCCCTGACGGCCAAGAGTAGGCAATTTTGTGACGCATGCCGGCTAACCAAGCACCTGCGATAATGAGCGGCGAAGAGGAGGAGGCAGCTTCGCAAGGGCTGCCTAGTGTCATTGATGAAATCCTTGACCAGGTCAGAAACGCAGTCCAGTTTCGCAATAGCGCCTCTTACGTGCCCGGCCCATACTCAGTGCCGCTTCGAAGTGCGTTTCCCTCGCAAGGGCGTACACTTTCCCCCCGCCCTCTAAGCTGCGTCCGCTTCCCCCACTGCGACAGTACCGCTTCAATTGGGAACCTGAGTACCGCTTGAAGTTTAAAAAAGAGTGAGTTGTTCCTTTCCCCGTCTCCCCTCTCCGCTTAGCCTCCCCCCGGTCCACGCACATCCGTCCGTCCGTCGGCTAGCCATCCCCGAAAACCCAAACCCCAGGATAAAAGGCCGCGCTTGGGAGCCGGGACGGGGTGCCGCCTCCGCGTTCCATTCGCAGCATTTCCTCGCTTAGCATTGCAGAATGGAGCCCGTAGCTCGGTACTGCTGTGTACGGCTCGTGCGGCTGTACGCTTATTGAAACACACACACACACACACGCCCTGCGTCTTGGGGTTATCGGGTTGCAGGCTGGCGAGCTATACGCTGAGTTTGGCAGTATCCAAACCCTTCAAAGCTTCTACGAGAGTTCGAATGATGGTGAGGGTGTGGTGGAAAAAAGCGGGTAGTGGTTAGCGGTGGCGTTTATTCGACAACAGGGACTCGGATTTGTGGAAAAGAGAGAGGGGGGGGAGGGGAAGGACGGGGGGGAGAGAGAAAAAATACTTTGGGGTTCCGAGAGTTTGCGGCAGTGAATTGCTTTTGCTGCTAACCGGCCGCCGAATGGTTTCTCGCAGCGCTTCGAATGCTACGATGCTGCAAGACATCAGAATTCGTTCTATGTTACGCCACACCATGCTAAGATACGTCAGCATTCGTGCTGTACTGATCATCATCATCATCATCATCACGAACGTCTTAGGCGGTCGATCCTTTCTTTCTTGCTGCATCATCACCATCATCATCATCATCATCATTAAATGAGCCCTCACCCACCAACTACTACCCATCAACTACCACCCATCAACTGTCACCACCAACTACCACCCACCAACTACCACCAACTACCTCCCATCTGGGCCCTCTTTCCCCTTTTCCGCCTGCAGGTGAAGCCAGAGCAAGTGGACGCCGGATGGCGACCGGGTCGGTTCATCCAGAAGGCGCTGGTGATGCCGCAGCAGCGCTTCGCCGCCGTGTACAGCCGCAAACTGGCGCTCAGCTTCCTGCGGCTGCAGTTCGTGGTGGGGTACTTTTGGGACACACGGCGACCCACCCTGGACTACAGGTGAGTACGTAGGAGTACGTAGCGGTGAACGTAGCGGTGAACGTAGCGGTGAACGTAGCGGTGAACGTAGCGGTGAACGTAGCCGTTAACAATCTGAGCTGCGGCTGCAGGCTGCGGGCTGCCTGGCGAGGTGGCACACACACATGTGTTTTGCGTGGTGTTGCGCTGTATGTATGTGTATGTGTGTCGGTGTAATGTGGTGTGGTGTGGTGTGGTATGGTGCGGTGTTACACTGCCCCGGGGGTTGAGTCGGTGAGGGGAGAGGGGTCGTAAAACCCTGATTAGACCTCTTTTTGAGACATGCATAGGTATAATAGTGGTGGTAGTAGTGGTGGCAGTAGTAGCAGTAGCGGTAGTATATATAATATATATATATATATATAATATATATATATATATATATATATAATACGTATGGTGTGTGTGTGTGTCTATATCCTTTGTGCGCCTCCGTTCAGTAACTCCCTTCCACCGGTGCTGGATGTCGGCAATGTCGATTCTCTATATTTCACATGTTCCCCTCTTCACCACAACCATCACCACCACCACCACCACTCCATCCCTACGCCCTCCATGACAGGTTCAGCACGAAATGGAACGAGGGTCTGAGGTTTAAGCGCAAAGAGTTTGTAAGTGCCGAGAGGAGCGCGTATCCTGTTGTATCGTGAATGAGTGAGAGTGAATGCTGATACAGTAGATCCCTAAGGCTCATGTCGGGCAGGTGCACGACACGCTGTACGACATGGTACGGGTTCTGCTGTTGGGTTGGGCCTGGGTTTGGGGTTGCAAGAGTGTGTCTGTGTGTTGTTGTTGGCCCAGAGCAAAAAGAGGCCTCTCGAGGTGGAGGCAGGAAAGTGCTTCAGCGCGTATTTATGGCAGCTGTGTGTGTGTGTGTGTTTTTGCCGTACTGAACGACAGGTATCACGGGGTGGTTTCTTGGTGCCGTAAGCTCGTTGACCCGCGACGGGGGTGGATCCCTTTCAGCACCCTTATCCCTTACTTCGCGCCTCTCTCTCTCTCTCTCCCTCCCTGCGCCATTCAATTTATAGATTTTAATTATAACTAAACATCAATTATGTTGACGAGAAAAGAAATGAGTACCCACATTTATATGTTTTGTTTTGACACCCTACCCCAGTCCCAACTCGCCCATGAATCCGACCCCAACCCCTTGAAACCCCCGCCCGCCCCCTCCCCTCCCACCCCCCGCAGATTCAACCCACCCGTAATCTGCTCATTCGCACCTGCTGGGCGCTGGACATGCAGCTGCCGGAGGCGGAGGGGTGAGTGGGTGGAATCTGGAATCACATGACGGTCATGATGATGATGATGATGTTTGTGATAATAATTATGATGATGAAAGATGAAGCAAAGCGTCAACTGCCGAGTGGCGGGCCCCAGGGCTTGAGCCTCTGCTGCCGAAGTGAGACGATTGGCCAATGGGTTTGGGGAGTTTTGGGTATTGGAAGGATAGAAGGACAGAGACGCCACTGGACCGGGACCGAGAACACAACGAAACCGAAGCGTGCTGGTCACCTGTTCGAACCCGCCTCCTGACATCCCCTTCTGCTTCCTGGAATGGACACATAGCCACTGCCTGCAGTATCGCAGCTGGGAATTAGGTCCCCAACCGCCGCTAACCGTAACCGCTAACTGCCCTCTAACCCCCTCCCGTAGCCACCTTGGCGGGGGCCAAGGCAGCAGGCAGGTGCCGGTGGAGGTCGAGTACGGCAGCTTGGACATCAGCGTCACGCAGGTCCGTACGTGTGTGTGTTGTCGTACACCAGCGAAACCATGGAATGAGCGCCTCCCGCTCTCTTCCCGAGGGCTATTGCATTCTAGGATTATACATTTTAGGACTCTGCATGGCTGTCTGCTATTATAAAGACACGAGAAAATCTGGGCTGATTTAAAAAATTAATATTTTTACAAAACCTTCGGTAAGTTTTGTAAACTGGGAACGAGATGGACCAACCGTCTCAACTGTCTTATTTCCACTACGTGCTTCCCCCTGGGTCCTAATAGCGTGAGATATGGCTTCACCGCCGTCCATGTGTCCCTTGGCGGGTGGTTACCCAAGCATCCGCCCGCTGCTGGGTCACCCTCCCCCCCCCACACACATCCCTCCACCCTGCTACATGTTGTCCTCTGTCCATGCGACCGTGCCACTTTGTCGCAGGTCGACTTCGTGTGCGATTTCGATGGCTTCAAAAAAAACTGGAAAAAGTCGGACCAGCCCAGGAGTCTCTTCGCGGCGGCACAGCCCTTGGAGGCGGCCGCTGCCGCTGCCGCCGCCGCTGGCTGCGCCTGCAGTTGCAGTAGTGGCAGTGGCGGCAGCGGCGGCTGTGGGGGTAGCATGTGTGCGTGTGGGGCTGCCGGAAGCGCTGGGGCTGCGGGCCCCGTGGGGCACACCCGGATAGCCTGGCCCTGGCAGCACCAGCACCATCACCAGCACAGCAAAGTCCCAGACGGTTCCAAGACGGAGTCAGGGGGGCGCGGCCGGGGGTGAGAGCGAGGCCCTGGCGCCTGTCAAAATTTAGGTGGTTTACACTAGGGGCTCTGGGTGAATGGTTGGGTGGATGGATAGGTGCTAGATCGCTGTGAAGATGGGGATGGGGATGCGCGTGTGTGCCGCCGTTGCCAGCGTTGCCAGCTGTACCTGCTGGGTGGTGGCGTATACAGCCAAGGTGCCGCCGCAGGGGTAGGAGTGTGAGCGACAAGGAAAAGTTTAGGGTTGTGGTGTATGCAACTTGTGTGAGTATGTGGGTGGTGTTTTGGGGGGAACTGGAGCGCTTTGGAGGATGGAGAAGTTGAGGTGTGTATATACACATATATGTATATATGTATGTATATATATGTGTGTGAGAGATAGAGATGCGTGGATTGGGGTGCTGGCGGCTGCTGATGAGGAGATGTTACTGCTGTTGGAGCTCAGCAGCAGCAGCAGCAGCAGCAGGAGATGCGAGGTGAGAAGAGGAGAAGGATGGAAAGGAAACGGATCGAAATCCTCTATAAAAGACGTTGCCATGACTGCCCTCAGGACAGAGCTAGAGTCCCTCTCTCCGCCGTCGCCATCGTCGTTGTTGCGGATGATGATGGTGGTGCTGACGGTGATGGTGGTGGTGATGGTGAGAGGATGTAGGGTGCCATACCGGGATGCATACATACTGACATACACGTACCCTTCGTTCGCACCCGCCTCAAGATTTCTTCCCGCGCGGCTGCAGCACTGCACTTCCCCCCCCCGGGTTGTTTCGTCTTAGACGTGCGTGCATCTTTACACCGCACCACATCAGTGCTAGGGTGCTGTCCTCGATCCTGTGCTAGTGGCAGGGTGGGTTGTGATGGGAGAGATGTCGCCAGGTACTCACCAGGCCCCCCCCCACTAAAGCCTAAGCCGCTTTCACCTCCTCGCACTAGCACAATACCAGAGCGCCGGCGCCAGCGCCAGCTGATAAGCTAGCTGCCTCTGGTAATGCTTTGTTCCGCGCGCCCACACTTATGCCGTTCGGGGTACACAACTTTTTCTTGATCTCCCTTCCGGCCGTTGCTAGTTGCGCAACTAACCGGCCCTGCTGAACTACCTGCCCAGTCCGTTGTTGTTGCTGCTGATGGTGCTGCTGCTGTTCCTGCTGCTGATGATGATGATGATGCGAGCAGCAGCAGCGGCTTTTCCTTACCTCCCTTTCGTTATCACGAGCAGCATATGGCTTATATTATATTACATGCCTCTCAATACGGAAATAATACGTGCAATCGATATGATGAGCATGCATGCGGAAAAGCATAAATATATCCGGCGAGATGTCGTGCACGCACAGCTTACAGCTGGTGTCTAATTTTCCTTTCCCAGACGTGGGGGTCCTTTGCAGATGCTGCACGTTCGCGTGGGTGATGATGAGAGGCACGAAAGCAAAGAAAGACCGAAGATCTGAACGGACACCCAGACATGGATGGTCCGGCAGGGCACGTTCTTTGCATGTATGGTAGTGGTAATGGGGGGGGGCCCGGGCGAGTACCCCCGATGGGTTGCATGGACCCGGCCTAGGCCGGATACCATTCCTTCCCCCGGGGCCAGGAGCGCACAGACGGCGCACTTAGGCAAGAGGTCGCGTGGGTGCGCTTGATAATGAATGGTTGATCGCATCGGAGTGCTTTTAGGAGGGCCAGGTGTGTGTGTGTGGGGGGGGGAAGGGGGATGGTTGAGGAAATTTTAGAGGAGAAAGCAAGGCTAGGGGCGTCATTGGCGTTGGCGCTGGGTGCTGCCCCCTCTGCCTGGCTGTCCTCCGCTCCACCACGACATGGATGTCGCATTGGGGGCAGATCGGAAGGCGAAGCATTCGACTCATCCATCCATTCGACTCATCCATCCATTCGACTCATCCATCCATCCATTCATAGGGGGGGTTTAGGTTCTGGAAGGAGGGATGGAGGCGGCTCAGGGGGCACGAGCCAACAGCGGCCTAGGCACCTGTCTTAACGGCGCAGCAGCTTGACTGGCAGTCTACTCTCTGTGTTAGCTGGCCTTTGGGATGGAGCTTTGGATGCTGGTGCGGCTGCTACTGCTGTTGTCGTATATACTGTTGTTCGTCGCTGCTGACGCTGGTATATATGCCCTGGAGGGCCGCGGAGTATTATTCCTTTATTCGCTCTTAGCTACCAAGGCCGCCCTTGTTGTTGTCACGTATTTAAGAAGGCAAAGAAATATGCTCTGTCATTACTCCTCGCTCGCTGTTTATAAGCCGTCGCATGGATTATAAAGGGTTCGAGTGGTAGTGACGGGGAAGGTGTCCGGCCAGTCCTCTGGCACGGTCTGGCAGTAGTTCCGCAATCTGTAGGTTCACGTCAGGCGTGTTAAATACACGGAGGGGTAAGGCTTGTGGGACGGAGGTGGGAAATGCCTTTAGGAGATAGGCTGGATTTCGTGTCGTTACCGTTTTCAGGTTCGTGGATTCTCGGTGCTCCATGTGGGGGGCCTAACAGGCCCGAATACACACACACACACAGACGTACAGACGTACAGATAGACACGCGCGTAGAGACACATAGACACGCATGTCTATTAGACACGGGTTTCAACCCGTTAACTTCATCATATTTTTAACTGACATAACGTCGGGAATGCACTGACGCCGCCAGGCTGAGGTGTAAAGGCGGAAAATGGCGCCTGGGGGTAATCGTGAGTAGGTGGTGAGTAGCTGTCGACCGAACTGGCTGCGGTTTATGTAATGTGATAGCTGGCCGGGGGGCCGACGACCAAACCGCTATGAGGGCAAGGATGGAAGCAAGGCCGATACCTGCCCGCACCACAGACACGCGCCTCGAGTCTCGTCGCCTGCAATCCCCTGGCTGCACAGGTGCCCCTTGCGTAGTTGTCCGTTTTCTGCGAGCGCATCGACGTGAAAAGACAGCCACCAAGCAAGAGTCGCTTTAATGCTTCCCTTCCCAGAGAGTGGTGACATGGTTGACGGGAAGGATGAGGTTCATCCCCGAACATCGGGGCAGGTAGAGGGAATGTCGGGCTAGTTGCCGCGGCTAAAGCTATATGTTGGAAAGTGACCGACACCATACTCATACACCAGAGAATGGTAATAGGGCCCAGGGAGGTCCGGCGCTTTGCTGTGTTTGACAAGTTATAACCCCCTACGGGTGAAGCGACACCCCCCTAATTCACACCATCATACAAGGTTAGCCGCTGATGGGGAAAGCATGGTGTCCCTCGAATCGGCCCGGGCGATAACGCCTTATGGTGACGCTTCTATCCAAAATTATTTCACTCACGCTCACACGATCCTTAAAATTACAATATTCACGCAATGCTTCCTTCTTAAGCTCGTAATTCTGAGGATTGCTTAGGGGCTGGTGAAGCTCTCGAAACGCACACACCTGACACCATGGCAGATACTGCCTTGGACTTGCAGTTCGTATGGCGTAGTGCAGTGTGTTGTAATGGTGGATGGTGCTGTATGGTATGATAAATCGTAGAAATGACAATGTGATCAAGTGGCCCACTCTGTAACAACTTACTTATTAGATACCGCAGTATCGACGTCTTCCACGCTTTTATTTTTGTTCCACACTTTTTAAACAAGCAAACAGCATCAATTGAGTGCAATTTTTATTTTACTTCAAAATGCTGACATGCAACTGTAGAAACGGCGGCCACTTCCAGAGGCCGCTCATCCTTCTATGTATGTTGTTACAGGGTGGTTAACTTCGCCAGCGGCCCCCTTTCCCGGGGCAGTCCCTGCTCTCCCCTGCTAGAGGGGCACCCTAATCCGTCACCCCATCCGACTTCAGAATGTATTCGTTGAGTTCGGCAACTCACCACCAGCATCCAACCAAATCTAGCGGATCAACGGCGCATCAACTTAGTTCCTGGTCAGCTCGCAAGTTGATATTATCACGTCCTACACCGTCCATAAGATGGGGGGCCACCTCCCATTTCATCACTCCTCAAACACCCGAGGAGCCGGCAGGCGGATTTGAACCCGGGTCGACTGGGTCAACTGGGAGCAGAAGTCAGGCCTTAACCTCTGCCAGCCGCCTGCCTGTAATATTTGCACTTCTATATTTGCACTCAAGGGGCACCTTCGCCCGATTTACACTGAAATATCTTGGCTGAGTAAAAAGATCAAACAATTGCTCCTACGCGAACGCTCACGTCCCTTCCGTCTGCAAATAGCTGGGAATACGGAGCGCCGCAACAAGTAGTAGCGCCTTACTGACCGGTGTTGTACCAAAGTTGCAACAAAGTTGTACCAAATTTCAATAATGTAAATGATACTCATGAATTCACATCGAGGCCATCGATGAGTTCAAGGAAGGACGGGAAAGACGATTAAGCCGGTACGGCGAAAACAAGGTGCAATCAAATGACAAGCAGCAAAGTTGCGACAGGGTGCGAAGCCGATCAGATGGAATTATCAAACAACATGTTAAGGACCTAGCGCCAAGACGGTGTGGCCAATCATCCTCACGCGGCAGCATCAACGGCGGGACCATTAGCAAGACGGTGACCGCGCATGCATTGGGGGATGACCGGGGCCGCAGGCAAATGCATCGCTGCGCATCAAGGGGTGGAGTCAAACCAAAGTGGACATGGGGGGACTTGGAAGTGCTATGCAATCGTGGGGTCGTCTTTTGTTCCCGGCACTGAGATGGTGAGACCAAATCACAACTCCTGGCACGGGCCAATCCTGGACAGAGGAAACAGGTGAGATGCAAAGTTAATATAACATCGATTTAGTGAGGATCGTGTGGCAAGAACGATCCAAGGGACACAGTTTATGGCGTGACTGAAAGTCCAATATATCAAGGTGTGATCTTTAAATTCAGGTTATTTTACGATCGCTTTATATTTGAATGAGGCGTCTTGTTAAGAAACTTGCGGCTTGAGCTTCCGCCTAACGAACTACGCTGGCAGCTTTTACTAAGTTATACACCCTGTTTTCATAGTGTAAGAATGTTTAACTCATTACTACATCGGCATAAGCAAAAGCTAGATGCTTGCCCTCCCGGTTACGCTGCGTTACATTTTGTACGACTCGTCTCATGCTGGACAATGCTGCCAGTATTGAGATTAAACCTCTTAATAGGATTACAGGAGATAGTTCTAATCAATCTAAATATAACGCATGTTGTGGTGAAGCCTTGTAGGGGCGATCAGCAGGCTGGTGAATAAAGGAGGGCGACCTGACAAGCAGATGCACATGAAGTCATTGAAGCAATGCTTGATGATATATCTCATTGGGTGTGGCCGCGTACATAGCGCACCAAGGCAACGCAAGGCGTCGCGGGATGACGTCGCCATGAAGGGACTTCAACTTATCAGCGTTATCTAGAGCTGCGTTGTAATTATTTACACAAATGTTTTCCAGTTCGGCGAGCACAAGCAGTCGCGGTTCTGCGTCGGAGGAGGGAACAACAGGGCCAAGGTGCGTGCGAGGCGGCTCCGCCTCTCTATGCAAGCCCATCAGTCAAGATAAATGGATGTACAATGAATAACACTAACCGTGAAACCCTGGCCATGGGCGACACCTTGCGAACAGCCGGATAAAGAATGTCGGGGGCCCGGACGGGGATGACGAGAGAAATGACTTTGAGGAAACGCACAAAATTCAGGTGAGTAGGCAGATGCATATCTTGTCGTCGGGCTGGCTCGTCAGAGGTGTTATCCCTTACATGTAGGCCGGCATCTTCTCAGTGCTTTACGTACTGTCTAAGGAGAAGATGAATGAAAACCTGAAGTTCACTGTCATCAAGCTGATGTTCGATTTTACCCAGGTAAGCCCGCTACAGGATCAGCTTTCGCCAGTAACGAGCTCTGCCATCCCTGTCTGGGGCCCCCTTGCCTAGGCAGATACGACAATGGGTATAAACAGAAGTGAATGGTTATGACTCATACTTTAAAGACTTAGATTACCTGTCCTGTAACCCGGACCGCTCATATGCCTTGTGGTTGCGCATACGGGTCGGCGTTACCGTTACCATGTACTGACCAGACAGCGGCTTTGAGATAATAAAAGCCGTGGCGCGATCATATTGATCACATCAGAATTCCGAATGTTTAGAAAGTCTGCCTAAATTTCAGCGCGAATTATACATTCCGCCTGAGCTTTTGAGTTCTGCCCCGGTGCAACCGCACGGGGAGTAGCTCGATGGGGCCCATACCGCGGTGCAAGCGGTGCAACGACCGCTACCACATTCGGCGTAACAGCAAAACCTACTGCCTCTGGCCATAATTTGGCCCTCGCATCTGCATAATTTCCTCATTCTTTCCCCCCGCTCATCATCCCCTCACCGTCCATTCACGTCCGGGTAACGGTCGGTCCTCCTTCACCACTTCCCATTTTAACCTCATTATTACATTTGGGGCATCCATTCCGCAATCCATGCACACGTATCGATTTTTGACGTAAAAGAAAGGCTTTTGCTCCCGCAAATAAAACACACGCAGCTCTTCGCTCTGGTGGTCAATCCTGCGCATGGATGGGCGGTGGATTCGACGAGCATGTAAGTGTTAGCTGGGCAAGGGTGCTGGCTCCTGGACTCCTTGGTGGGGAGGTCAACCGGCGGCCTGACAGGGCCTGCGTTCGCTGCACTCGGCACGGTGAAGGCGGAAGAGGAGAGGGGCCAGGAGCAGGAGCCCCTTGTGGGCCTATGGGAACAGCCCCTCTCTGCCCCCCCTCCCCCGGGTCTGCTGGTGGCGATGCAGAGCGCTGCGCAGCAGCGATCCCCTTTCACTGCAGCAGCATTACGGGCGGTGAAGACCGCTGCTGCGGCTGCAGTGGCCACTGACGTGGCTGCCATCGCAGCTACTGAGGTCTCGTCGCTACAAATGCTGCATCGTTGCTGCTGCTGCTGCATGCTGCTGCTGCGGTCGGGGGTGTACTGGCATGCGTGCCCCGCCTGATTGTACCCCCCTCGGGTGGGCGGGTGGAAAGCCAGGACAGCGTGGCGAGTAGGGATCACGAAACGAACTCTGAGGCAGAGAAGAAATGCGGCCGCGTATCAAAGAAGGGCGGAACGAGAGGGAGCGAGAGGGAGCGAGCCGGGCTAATGACAGCACTGCCAACCACGTTGCCGCTCTTCATTCTTTGCATGCTGCACATGACACCATAGCGGCGGGGCCGGAGCGCGCCGCCACGCGCGCCGCCGCCGTTCCATTTAATAGCAGCAGCGCAGCCATGCCTTGAGCTTGGGACCCCCTCTGGGATCGATCTTCGCACGCAGAAGGCCGCTGCGAGATCGCCTCGCCTCACCTCGCCCTCGCCACGCCTCGCCTGCTTATGGATGCGATATCAGCCTTCATATAGACATATTCCTCAAACCACAAACCGGCCCCGGCCTCGCCACGCCTCACCCACACGCTCACCCTCACCACTAACTGACATACATGCCCGAACAGCAACACATGTGCTCGACTGGCGCCTTAAAAAACACCATTCCGGCCTGCCCTAACATCAACTCTTCACTCCCGCCACCCCCACTCCACCCGGCCCTTTACAGCTACTGGCAGATCCTGACATTCTCCCGATGGAACTACATCGTTACGAACCTGCTGGTGGGGATGAAGTGATGCCGTGGAAAAACAGGGGGAGGGGGAGTCAGTGAGCGCGTTGACTTAGGTTTGTCGGATGTTTGGACGTTTCTGTTACATGGTGGGAGCTCTTTACAAAGAGCTAGGGAGCGGATGGGGTTTGCGTGCGATCTGACACATGCAGTTAGTTGCATGGGAGTCGAGTAGTTTCCAGCGGCATTGTGTCGGGTCTGGGGTTCCTTCGTTGTGGGTTTGGTTGATGGTGGATTGGGTTTGCCGAGATCTGATGTAGAGTGGTTTTAGCAGTGCTTTTGTTTTGCTTTTAATGGGGCCCACTGAGGCTCAGCTGCTTTGCCGGCCCGTTTAAGCCTTAAAATGATAACTATAGTTAGATGACGGTGCTGAGTTGCGGTTCAGCGGATTGGCACTGCTGTAATGCTTCGCTTTGAGGTGCTGGATTTGGGTTCCGTTATGAGGTTTAGGGTTTTGCAATTTACAGTTTTAGGTTTTGGGGATTTACGGTTTAACGTTATAAGAATCTTACGGTCCTAGCTTTTTAGTATTTTACTGTTTTACAGTTCCATTTTAGGATTTGCTCGGTCTGATAGGTGTAGCCGATGATGCGCTGGAGGGTCGAGTCTGGGGCCAACCCATCAAAATGTTCGAAAGCTATTTTCACGTTCCCCCCAGGGACATAGCTGTGATTCCCTTCCCCTTTCACATTCCCGTACCACCTCAATCCCCATCCCCACCTTTACCCGACCCTTCCCGTCCCTCCCTGCCTCGCTTTTCACCCCCATATTGCACATGCATTTACAGGGCTACAAGGCTTACGTGGCCATTCTGTACACGATGACGGGCATGTTATGCTGTTCACTGGCGTTATGTGTGTGGATTGCATATTCGTACAAAAACCGCAGCTTTGCCTACACGTGGTAGGTGCCGTACTGCCGTACTGCTGCATTTGGGCGCCCCTCCCTTTCGGCCGCACATGGCATTGGTTGGAGTTCATGGCGCTGCTCAGTTGCCAGGTGGTGGTGGTGATGGACCTGGGCTCCTGCCCTGTGGGGCCCCACCCCTGAGGCCCCTGGGGCCATCAGATGATGTTTTGAGTCTGTATAAGCAGTCCTGCCTCCAGCCACCTTCACCTCACTGCCGCTTAAATCTCACTACACGCAGAGATACACCCGAACATACACAGTTCACCACCCCATGGCTGCGTCCAGGTCCGGAGATAAACACGCACACAGAGACACACAGACAGACAGACAGACAGACAGACAGACAGACAGACAGACAGACAGACAGACAGACAGACACACACACACACACGCACATACACACACAGACACACACACACACAGACACACACACCACACACACAGACACACAGACACACATACCCCTCCTGACACGAACCCTATGGCCACATTCCTCCTCTAGGGTGCGCAGTGTGGACAACATATCACCCATACGTTTACCTACTGCTTTATTGGAAAATTCTAAACGCATGTCGCCGGTGACTGCGGAGCTCACGTCGATGTAATAAAGTTTTTCTCATGTACCACCATCGACATACATTTCCCTCATCGCGGCTCCGAAAATCATTAAAACACACCCACACATCACAAACCCTTTAAAACCCCCCTTTTTACCCCCCCCCCACCCCCGCCCAACCCCCCAAGGCCCACGTACGTGCTACGGTTGTACGCCACCATACACTTCGGTCTCTTCGACATTGCCACACTAACCCTGATCCAGGTGTCGTACGATTGCCAGTTCCTGGGCAGCGGCAAAACCAACCGGGGGAGGATGTACACCTTCCCAGATCGGGGTGAGCGGGTGGGACCCGGGGTGTTGCCGGGGGTGCCAGTGGGGGGGGGAGATGTATCGTGTTCCTAAGGTTTCGTCAGCTTTGAGAGGACGGAATTGAAAACCCTGAAACAAGCTGTGAACCCTTCCTCCTCTTCAATCTCCCCCCCCTCACGTCTGGAAATCTTCAAACCCCCCTTCAACCCTCCGCCTCTCCAAACCTTTCCCCCCGTCCCGGCCCCCCCCCATCCTCCACAGTTTGCTACGAGGCACCGCATCTCATCCCCTTCAGTGTGGGCGTCGTCACCCAGGTGCTCTTTGTCATTGCCGCCGTCATCTTCTTTACGGGCGAGTTCGAGGTCAACCCCATCAGCCGCCGCTTCACCTGCTGCGCTCACTCGCATGTGGAGGTCCGCGCCTTCCTGCTCAAGGTGGCCATGACGGTGGTATACGTGGTGATGGGCTGGCTGCAGGTGCAGACCACCATCCAGGCCTTCCTGTGCCTGGCGCTGACGTGGATTTTCTTCAAGAATGTGAGAGTTCTGAGACTTAGGTTTTGGTTTTTTTGGGGAAATAACTCAGATGAAGATGAGTATTAATTGGACGGGGGGGATAGCTTGAAAGTATTGCAACGGGGTTTGGAGGATGGAGGTGTTGAATAGTCGCTCTGGGCTCCTAGCTTTTCCTGTCAGTTCTGTCCCCTGCATACCATCCACAGTTGGCACGCTTAGGAGCGGCTAACGCACCTCGTGCAATGGTTTCGGAGCACACGTATCATACACGAAAACGCGTAGATAACATGTAATGTGCGTTCATTATGTGAGAGGAATGTCGTCTGCCTTCCCGCCTGTTTGCTTTTTGCTTTTCCCTCCTTTTACCTGTCGTCGCTTGGCACATGTGCCGTACAGATGCCGTACATGTTTGCCATCATCAACCACATTCGCGTCGGCTCGTACCTAGCGGTCACTTGGGCAGCCATGTTGGCGGTTGCAATCATGTTCAAGCCCAAGGAACCTGAACGCATGGCGTTGTACGAGAAGCGCATCACTAATGTGATGTTGTACGGCCTGGCGCCCATCGCTCTGCTGGGTTTCGGAGCGTCCTTCCTGCGGCTACATACCTGGTCGCAGTTTGTGCGCAAACGGTTCAAGTGAGTTGTTCCCAAAAGTGGCTCCAGGGGTTCTGAAGAGCCATATTGGGCCTCTGCCTGTATTGCCTAAGGAAGAGCCGGTGGTGAAACAGAGCATGGGGGGAGGAACTAGGGTTGCACGCCTCTTAGCCCTAGGCCATAGGCCCTGGCACTTCAACCCACATTCACCACCGTTGCTCACTCCCAACATTAGCGCGACCACCAACCGCACCTACTGATATTTTTTAAATTCAACATCGTATGACGAACGAACACCATGAGCACTCTCTGCACAGCGGAACGGCCATCAACCGTAATAAAACCAAGTTGTCTGGTTAGCCAACGCTGATCAGACCGCTGCTAAAATGAAACCCACTAAAACCCGCCTCACAAAACCGAACATTCCTGAAACCCGCCTCTAAACCCGCCGCTCCAGGGAGGCGCCCTCCGGCTCCAAGGTGAAGGACATCTACCGCTTCAAGGACCCAATTGAGGTCGAGATCATAAGTCGCGTAGCTCGCCACTGGATCGACGACGAGGTCCTGGACTTGGATAGAGTGAAGGAGGCCGAGGCCATCATTAAGGCGGGGCTGGTGCTATTTCCCACGAGAGCATTCATGATAATGCTCTATTCAAATTTCCTTTGGGACGTTCTGGATAACCCCCAGGTGTGGGGGTTTCTGATGGGGGGTAATGGGCGGTGGGGGGGTAATGGATTGTGGAAGGGGCTCTCACCGGACGGGGAGATACTAGGAAAGCGGACATAGATGTGCGTGACAGTGGCACACACGCGCACACACATTCTTAGGTGGGAACGGGGATGAGGCCGGGCGGGCGGTAATGCGCAGAGCTGATAGCCTGGGGGGTTCGGTGCTTGCAAAGGATGCGTGTGTTGTGTGTAAGGGAACCCTTTTCCCTTACCAGTATCCCCACCACCCATACAGTTCTCTTCTGGACTACTGTTTCATCTCCCATCGCCCTCTCAACATGTAGGCGGGCTACAGTCAGCTACAAGCCGCAAAGAAAGCCAATCCGAATTACATGGAGCGCTTTGCCATTTACCGTCGAGAGCAAGAACACCTGGCAAGGACGGCCCAAACCAAGGGCAACGGTGAATCCACACTGGATCTAGTGTCGTACGTCGAGTTCCAGCGCAATTACCGGTAGGCGTCGCCTCAAAAGGTTTTAAACCGGTACCACGTGGCTAGGAGGCGCTGGAGGAGCCGTCCATGAAGGAACGTGTCCAGAAGTGTGATATAACAATTCCGGGGCCACAGGGCCTGATTTTTTCATCCCAGTTTTTATGCCGTACGTAATGTTTACCGTGACGCCCTCTTTACCTCTTTAACTCATTATCTCGTCCCGGACCAATCATATAGAGGACTTGCTCCTGCAGGCCCCTACGCGAACCCCATCCAGCTGGTAGGTAGGTAGGTAGGTAGGTTCCCCTCTTAAAACACCCCCCATTGTCAATCTCTTTTCCTTCTTCTGCACCTCCTTTCCTTTTTCTGGGGGAGCAAGAGTCTTACACAAGTCTTAACCACCTTTGCTGCCGCCCCTACTTCCCCCCAGGCTTGCCATGCGGGCCCATCGAGAGGCCTTGTTAGCCACCCGCAACTTCTGGCAGTACCTGCTACAACAACATATCACCTTTACGCACCTTTCCAAGTCGCTCAAGGCTATTGAATCGGCCATCATGAAGGTGTGGTTGGAACGTGGAGGTGGAGGTGTAGCTGGCGGGGTGAGGGAGGAAGAAGGAGAGAGAGGGGGTAAACAAGGGCGGCCGGTGTTGTTGGTGTGTGCCAGCAGGAAGTGGTCCGCTGGCGGAGGTGCCGCGGACAGCAGGGAGCACATACGGGTGTGAATTGGTCCATTGGCACGCGAAGCTTCGTCTTTCATCTTGGGATGGGAGGAAGATGGTAATGTACTGCTCAATACGCGTGTTTAAGGGCGTTCATGCAGGAAGCGAAGGTTCAACCTCCCCCCAAAACCCCATGGTAACACGTTTTCGCAACCGGTCCTGCACCCCATCTTCCCTTTACGTGCCCCCTACCATCCCCTACCTTCCCCCTACCTGGCGAAAAGCCCTTCCCCCTCCAAGTCCAAATCCCCACCCCACTCACACACAATCCCCAACCCCACTCACACCAGGCCGATAAGGTGTACCGCACGGTGTTGGAGCGCTACCCCTACTCCGCCAAGATGATAAAGGGCTACGCTCGCTTCCTGGAGGGTGTCAAGAACGACCCGTGGCGGGCCTCCAAGTTCTACACCGAGGCAGAGAAGCTGGAGGCGGAGAGGGAGGAGGAGGCGGCGGCGCTGGAGCTTGAGGGGCTTGATGGTGATGACTCACGGTTGCTAAACAAGGTGGGGAGAAAAGGAGGGTCTGGAAAGGGCGGGGAAGAAAAGGAGGGAAGTGAGAAGGTAGGGGAGGAGAAGGTAGGGGAAAGAGAACGGGGTCCGGGGAAAGAGGGAGGAATAGGTGGGTTCGGACTGAGGGTTTTGGGGTTAGTGCGGAGGAGGAGGTACACGAGGAGAGTATTTAAGGGAGGGTTGGCGTAAAGGGTCTAGGAGGGGGTCTAGGAGGGGCGAGCGGGGGGGCTATAGCTGATGAGGCCGACCCGTGCGGGTTTCAGACGGCAACGGCAGCATGGGCGTGTGACAGGGACAGGGTAGCGTGGCTCCCTGAGTGCGTAGGACCTAGACGGGCGATTATGGCAATTGTAAAGGCATTCGTGGCACATTGACGGTGATAAATTTTGCGTTACTTCTCGAAAACGACACGTACGGCACAGGTGGACGAGCGCGTCAACGCGGTGATTATCATCAACAGCCGTGGTCAGATCCAGATGGCAAACAAACTGGCGTACGCCATGTTTGGCTACAACAAAGGTATGAGGGACGAATCTTGTCATCATGAATTCGAACAGATTGCTGGTGCTCGTGAGATCCAAGGAAAGGCCCGGGTCGGAAGGGTGGATGGGGGGCCGTTGTGTTAAGGGCCTCGACTCCCGAGTTTCCGCCTCCACCGCCTCCGCCGCCGGAGAGATCAAGAGTAGAAGTCCAGCAGAGCGGCTTGGGGGAAGATTTGAGAGCTAGGCTGAAACCGAAACCGATTTATGTGGGGTCACCAAACCCTGATGGGGATCCTAACCTGAGCCTCAACCCACGCCTCTCCTCCGTCTCCTCCTTTTGCCCCTCCTTCTGCCCCTCCTTCTGCTTCTCCTTTTGCTTCTCCTTTCCTAAGTTTTCACGTATTTTTACGTGATGTTCTTCTCAGCTTCTTCTTTTTCTTCCTCCTCCTTCTCCTCCTTTTCCCCCTCCTCGTCCTCTATGCCCTGTCCCTGTCCCCCATGCCCATACACACAACACACACACAACACGCACACGCTCACACACGCACACGCACGCAGGAGAGCTGGAGGGCAAGAACGTGGCCATGCTGATGCCCCTACCCTTCAGCCAGCGCCATAACGGCTACATCAAGCGCCACATCACCACAGGCAGGGAGACCGTTATGAACCGGGTGACCGACCTGGTCGCTCTCCACAAGGACAGATACGTCTTCCCCTTTAGACTGGCCGTGTCCAAGGTCTCCGGAGCGGGAGATGAGTGAGTGTACGACTTGTACTGCATAGAACGGGGGACAGCGAGCTTGCTGCTTTTCTGTTTGCGTGTAATTGGGGGTTGTTGAATGCCACATACGGTACTAGCAATGAAAGCCAACGCTGCAGCGGTGTGATATCACCAGTGTTAGCTAACCAGACAACTTGGCTTGCGAACAGACGCTGCTCCCGTGACTGGCTGGCGAATTACACCATTCATCGTACGACATCCAACCATGCATGGATTCTTGAACTAGCATGCCTGCCTTCGCAATCGTGGATAAATATATGCAGGGGACGGTGGGATTCATTTTATCTCGCTTTGGCTGTAAAGCTTAAAAAGCCTACTGCTAGCTAGGATCGTACATGCATTGGTGCACTAGTGCTGGAAAATGTTATGGGTTATCTGCTCTACACACGAAGGAAGGAGGAAGCCGTCACGTGTGTCATCTGAGCAGCACTTGTGTGGCTGTGTGTCGGTGTCGCTCGCAAAAGGGTGGATTAGAATTACTCTTTTAATCGTCATCGCTTAGTTCGAGTTCCCTAACGAACACCCTCACCTCCCCCGGCCCTTCCCCTTTTCCTCCTCCGCTCCCCCCCTCACCCCCCCCCTCGATCCGTCCTTAGCTCCCTGTTCATGGGCGTCATCATGGCGGTGGAGCCTCTTCAAGACACAGCTAATGTGTACATCTTGCCTGGGGGCTCTGTGGCAGCGGTAGATCAGGTGGGGTGGGTGGGGTGGAGGGCCAGGTGGGGAAGGGCCAGGTGGGGGTGGCGGTGGGGGTGGGGGTGGCGGTGGGGGTGGGGGTGGAGGTGGCGGTGAGGGTGGGGGTGGGGGTGGGGGTGGGGGTGGCGGTGGGGATTGCAGACTGACCTTCCACTTCCAAACAACCCCCCCAAAACCTCTGTGTGTCACCCCCTGTGTTATTATTTTTCGTTCTCCTTTTTATTATTTTCTCCTCCTTCTTCTTCTTCTTCTTCTGCTTCTTCTTCTGCTTCTTCTTTTTCCTCTTCTTCTTTTTCATCTTCTTCTTTTCCTTCTTTTTCCTTTTTCCTCTTCTCGCCCTTTATTAACCCCCCTCCTCCTCCCCTCCCTCCGGTTCACTTCTTCCTTTCAACAACCCAACTCCCTTTTGCATGATTAACCACAACCCCCCCCCCCACATCCCCCTTTGATATGCGTCGTTGCCCGACCTGCCGCCGTTTCCCCCCTCCTCCCCGTACCCTTCCCACCCCTCTCATACACGTACACAGGCTTTTGTGGACTGGTTCGGCTACACCGTGGAGGACTATCTGGGCCACCCGGTCCACACTCTGGCAGTGGACCCAATGCCCTTCAAGCGCCTTGTGGAGGAGGTCACCCGAAACGACCAGCCTATCGAGGACGGGGTGTGTCCAGCGTTTCTGGGCGCCAAGCACGCGCTCATGAAGCACAAGTACACGGACCCGGTGGATGTGAGCCTGCACCTCAAAGCTACAGGTGTTTGGGGTTCGAGAGGGGGGAGGTGGAGGGGAAGGGAGGAGGGGAGGTAGGTGGAGGGCTGGCAGGTGAAGGGGCGGGAGGGAGGAGAACGATGCCGGGGAGTGGTGGCTGTGTGTGCTGTGTGTGCTGTGTGTGCTGTGTGTGCTGTGTGTGCTGTGTGTGCTGTGTGTGCTGTGTGTGCTGTGTGTGCTGTGTGTGCTGTGTGTGCTGTGTGTGCTGTGTGTGCTGTGTGTGCTGTGTGTGCTGTGTGTGCTGTGTATTTTTGTAAGAAGATCGAGTGTTGGGACTTACCGTGTTGTCTTTCTTCTGGTCCTTATTCCGTGGCGCGACAATCGAAACACGTGTAGTGACTTATTGCCCTTTTTCCTCCTTTCCTTGAACGACATCTCGGACGTACCGCCCATCATCATCATCATCCTTATAATCACCGCAACCATACAACAACCGATGGTTACTACCACCACCATACATCACCAACATACAACCATAACCACCACAACCACCACCACCACCACAACCACAACAACAATCACAACCACAACTGCATACCCACGACCATCGCCATCAATGGCTCGCCATGACTACTATTGCTGCTGCGGCGCCGGCTGTTGCTGCTGTTTGTCAGCAGGTCTTGGCAGTGAAACCATTTACCGCGTGGAGATGCGCCGAAACCAGCCGCCAGTAGAGCTGGTCCTCACCAACCGAAAGGGCCGCATCGCCTTCATTACCTCGCCCTTGGCCAAGGCCATGGGCCACACACCCAGGTCCCTGCGGAAGGTCGACATAGGGGAGCTGCTTCCACAGCCCTTTGGGGCGATGCATGCAGCATGGATTCGGGTGCGCCGCTGTGTGTGTGAATGGACATGAGGACGGGGCATTACTGGCGGCGAGAACTGGGGGGAGAGAACTCCATCCGGGGGAACGTGAGGGAATTCCTTACTATATCATTCTATGGCAAAATAGAAAGGGGGTGTTTTCGGCTGCAGCTGGCCGGATGGGTGGAGGTGGGTGGATGGGTCAAAGGCAAAGAAAAGGGGAGGTTTGGTCCGGGGATTTGAGGGGCCTCACACCTCCTATATCTTTCAAAACCTCCTCACCTTGGCCCTACCCCCGACCCACGCACACAGACATAGACATAGACACAATCTCGTGCCGATGGTTTTGCTTCCAAGCCACAGCTCCCACAACTTAACACAGCCAATCTTCCACACTCCATCCCCCCCAGGAAGCTGCGGAGTCCAAGCCCTCCCCGCATAGCTGCCGTTCGGGCGTCACCATGGTGCTAGGACCCACCCCAAAGACGCAACAGACAGTTCGACTGGCCATAAAGTCAACAGACGAGTCGGGGGAGCAACAGCACGTCGTCAAAGTACGAAGAAATGACAGATTTCTACAGTTTTAACGTACCCGTGTACCTGCCTATTCATGCATACATACATACATACATACATACATACATACATACATACATACATACATACATACATACATACATACATACATACATACATACATACATACATACATACATACATACATACATACATACATACATACATACATACATACATACATACATACATACATACATACATACATACATACATACATACATACATACATGCATACATGCATACATGCCTACCTGGTCATGGCTCGGGGTTAGGTGGGGTAGCATGCCGGTATCGGTAAGCTCTTGAGAGAGTTCAGGGTATTGGGGGAAAAACCTAAACCCGAAAGAGGGAGGAACCGCATGCAGCCGCAGAGGAGGGGGTTTAGGGGGCAAGCGAACATCCTTTGTGCGGTAGGTTCACCGGTACCAGCAGCATCACCTGCCCTAGTCCTAGTCCTAGTTCGTTATCCACATCCCAGGGGGAAGGCAGAAAGGGGCCGCCCAAAGGGGCCGAGGCCGCGGCCGCTCTGCGCTGCACTTTCCGTGATATGATGTGGGGTGGGGGTTGGAGTGCAGCGGAGGGCACCTGGGGGCTCTGTTCACCTGCTTTGTTCCTTACGGGCTGTGTGTGTCTCTCCGCACTGTTTGTCGCCATCACCTTACGGGATTATCGGATCCGATCCCGGATTTCGAATCCTGGCGGATCCTAACCCCTTCCCATCTTGCTCCCCCGTCCCATCTTGCTCCCCCTTCCCCTCCCGTGGGCCCCATCGCGATCAGGTGTCGCCGTCCACGATGTCCGAGGGCTTGGACGAGCGCCGCCTGCGCCTCACCATCGACACCTCCGGAACCGTGACCGACGTCGGCCACTCGCCCACCTCCCTCTTCGGCTTCAAGCCTGCAGCGCTGCTTGGCCGCAGCCTAGCTGACTGTGTCGACGTCCTCCATGCCGCTGCACGCTCTGCCTCCGCCTCCGCTGGCCTTACATCCGCCGGCGGCGGCACCGCCGGCGGCGCCGCCGCCGACGCCATGGCGGCGGCGGAGGTACGGCGCATCATCACGCTGTTGATGGGCCGCGCGCTGGAGCGCCCCGGAACATCATGGCGTGTGGGCGTTATGCCCCCCCTTGAGAATATCCGCTCCCTAGGTTCCATAGCCACGGCGCTCCTGGCCAAGCAGACGCGGCCGGCCGTCATGGAGCTGGACGTCAAGGTGGATCTTGAGGACCTGGCGGCGGGGCGAGAGGTGGCCATCAATATCTCCCTCTGGCGCGCTGACCTTGTTTGCGGCGTGTTGGAAGTCGATAAGGAAGGCGTAGTGCTGACGTCACAGGACCATCCCTTTTATCCCTCCGGACTTCTTTTCGGCGTGTCGTCCCCGTCGGTGCTGCGTCAGCCGCTGGGACGTTTCGTACAGCTCGGCGGCCGGACCGTCGAGAGCTTGTTCCTGTCGGAGTACAAGAACGGCGGCAAGAAGGGCGCGCTCAAGAGCAGCAGCGCGGCGTCGAAGAAGGTCGGACCGCTGCGGAACCTGGGGGCCCATCACACAGACGGCGAGGCGCTGACGTTGACGGTTCAGGCGGTACGCAAAGAAGGCGCCAATAGCCGGTTCTTCGTGGTCCTGCACTTTAAGGAACCGACCCGTGGGTCGCGGGACTTCATGGCGCTGCTGCAGCGGGGTCCCGTGGAGCCGCGGATGACCCAGGAGAGCATGGAGATGGCGGTGGTGAACGTGGTGACGAGTTCGGCTTCGACGCCGGTGGCGGCCTCGGGGAAGGGAGGCGACGGCAGCGTCAGCAAGAGCACGCGAAAGCTTCAACGTGGCGCGGATGTGGTGCCGGGATTGGCGACGGCGGCGACGGGGCCGACGGCCGCAGTAGGGCTTGTGAGGGCGGTGTCGCCGCAGCAGCAGCCGGCAGACGGCCGCTCGCCGCGGCTGAGCCCCGCGCCGCCGCTACTGTCGCCGTCGCCGCCGGGGGCGACGACGGTGCTGCAGGGTCAGCCACCGTCACCGTTGCCGGGTACGCCGATGCCGTCGGCAGAGACCGGTCCAATGGTGCCACTGCAGCCGCACGTCGCGCTGCTCAAGAACTCCTCAGGCAGCAACAATGGCAGCGGCGGCAGTAGCGGCGAATCCCTCAACATCTCCACGCCGCCCCAGGACGAAAGCATCTCGCAAGCGGTGCTTTCGTCAATGCCCCAGGGGATAATGCCGCCGCCGCCGCCGCCGCCGCTTTTGCTACCGCCGCCGCCGCCCATCCGCGTCGTCAGCACGCCGTCAATGGACCAGCCGCGCATCGTCGCCGCAGGACGTACATCGCTGACGTCATTAGGTGCTGTTGGCGGCGGTGGCAGCGGTGGCGGCCGCTGGACGATGGCGGCGCCGACGCCCGCGCCAGCGGCCGTGCCCTTGGGTGTGCAGCATACGGAAGCCGTCGACGCAGCTGTTGCCGTCAATCCCACCGCCGCCGCTGCCGCGGCAGCTACTGCGTTTGCGCCGCCAGGGCTGCCGTTGGGAATGGCGGGTCTGACCCTTCAGGATTATCTTGTAGGACGATCGGATCGGAGCGAGGACGATCTGGCCACTTTATTTGACCGGGTGGTGTCGGGCAGCGGCGGGGGGGATGCCGGCGGCGGCCCTGCAGGGCAGGCGGCGAGGCAGCAGCAGCAGCTGCTGCAGCAGCAGCGGCCGATGGTGCGGCGCCTGGCTCCCAACATGCGACCCGTGGGCATCAACAACCTGAGCTTCAACCGACGGCTGAGGGAGAAGCTCGCAGCCGAGGCTGCTGCAGCGGCCATCGCTAGCGGCAGCGGCAGCGGTGACGGCACTGGCTCCGAACCTTGTGCGCCAACCGGTGACGCTGACGCTGCTGTAACGTCTGTCGTTGATGCCGTAGCAGCATCAGCGGCATCGGCGGCACTGGTGACGTTGCGTCCAGGATCACCAGTCTCGCCACCACCGCTGCCGCCGCCGCCGCTGGCACTACAACAAGCACTGTCGTTGCCGCCGCCGGGGGCCGTCCATCACCCCACACAACAACTTCCCACAGCAGCTGCGGGACTGGGTGCGCTGACGGCGGCGGTTGTGCGCGCCAAGACACCGCCACCGCAGATGGCGACGGCACAGCCGCAGCCCCAGCCGCCAATGGCGCCGGCGTCGCCACTTGTACGGCCACCGCTACAGGCGACCTTCTCCCTTCCGCCCAGTTCAACGGGAATGCTGGTGGTGGAGCCGTCGCCCACGCCGCCGCCGCTGCCTGCAGCGGCGTCGGCGCACGCCATCAACGTTATCGCTAGCAGCGGGGGCAGCGGCGGCCTGGTCAGCGGCGGCGGCAGCGGCGGCAGCGCAGCGTCAGCTAACTTGCCAATGCCGCCCCCGCCTCCGCTGCAGCAGCAACCGCCACTGCGGAGCGCGAGTGATCTGCGGACGCTGACTATGCAACGGTCTTTCAGTCGGGATTCAGTTAACAGCGGTACGGGGACTAACAACCCTGGTAGGACGAGCATGGGTTTGGACAGGGGGGCGGGTCAGTCGGCGGCGGCGGCAGCGACGCTGCTCTCTCCTCCTGGCTTGGTTAGTACAGCAGGTGAGTCATGGTTTCCGGTAGCTTGCACCGCGCCGCATCTTACACCTACAGAGCCGCCGCACAACGGAGAGCGCGGCGGCACAACCGCAGCCGGTTGCAACAACGGCATCACGGTGGGATGCTGGAGCGGGCAAGCGGGGGCTGCGCACAACGGCCCAGGAAGCGCAATGGCACGGCAGAGGAAACGGGGCGCAGCCCCGTCTAATCACTGTAGCTATGCTGAGGCCCACAGACTTTGTATTGTAGTTAACTTCGTCATCGTCATCATTTCGGGTCGTAGGGGTCGCCTAGGGTAGAACCTAAAGCACTGGCTCAGTCATGAGACCTGGTCAGAATGCATGCGAGTGTGGTAGCGACATATCCGCATGGGTAGCGACCGTCAATGAGAGGCACCTGCAAGCGAAACCTTTCACACTCCTTCCTTGTGCTTTTATTGTGACTCGCGCTGTGTGCGATTGTTGTTGTTAAGGCATTGGGCCCATTAGGAGCACTGCGGCGAATGAGGGCACGAAACGACGAAACCCCTAAGTCGTACCACTTAGCTATGCACCTGTTCTTTCCCAGCCTCTGTGTGATGTATGTGTGCATGCGTGAATGTATGCACTTGTGCATTTTTGTGCATTTTTGTGCATTAAATGCACAAAAATGCACAAGTGCATACATTCACGCATGCACATTTTTGTGCATTTTTGTGCATTTTTGTGCATTTTTGTGCATTTTTGTGCATTTTTGTGCGTTTATGCTTGTGTGCTTTGGTGCGTGCTTTTGTGCGCATGCGCGTGTCAGGCTTCCCCGGCCAGCACACTGCAGCACACATATGCTCTTTTAATTTTGCCTGCACGATAGCGCTTCTCTCTCTCTCTCTGCATCGCCACGAAAAACCTCAAGACGACTTTAATCTGTGGTGCAAGCGACTAAGCCCCTCCCGCGGTCGCTCTTCCCCACGTTTACCTGCTTGGTTTGAATCTATTGTCCCCTGGAGCCTTCCTCCTCCACTCCTTCCTCCATTCCCCCGTCTGCTTAGTCCGCTACTGAGTCCGCCTCTTGATCCCTTCATCCCCCCCTCCATCACACCGCCCCGGGGTGTTCTGTTGTGCGGTGGCTCAGGCCAGTCAGTGCGACGAAGCATGAGCACGAAGCAAGTGAGCTTCGCACCGTCACAACTCCTGATTGACGAGACTGGAAGGATCGAGCGCCAGCCCTCTCTTCCTCAACTGACGCTGCCCCCCCGCCTCAGCGGCAGCCGTGACGGCGGAGGCGGAGGCGGGGGCACCGTGCCGCAGCTGCTCGAGGGAATCCCGTACGACGTGTACGGAGATGCTGACAGCGGCCGCGGCGGCGGCGGCGGCGGCGCCACCGGTGGCCCCGGTGGCGCGAGGCTGCTGGCGCATGCACCGCAGCAGCAGTATCCTTATGCCGCAGCGATGGGCGGTGCAGCTGCGCAGCATCTGTACGGCGGCATGTACGGGAATCCGTACGGCAGCGGAGGTCTTGGCATCGGCGGCGAAGAGACGTTTGGAGCGGCGGGCAAGATTAAGAGCAACGTCAAGCTCGCACGGATTCGCGAATGGGTCCTTTCGGAGGTGAGAACTGGATCCGTACGGCTGTACGACTGTACGGCCGTACGGCCGCTCCGTCATCATCTCGCTCCCAATCCGACAAAGACACCGCAGCCTCACTCCTTTTGTCCTATTGAAAGCAAATTGCAGCACCCCATTGGGAACATCTTTGGTGCCTCTGGGACTGTCGCCTTCTTCCTCCCCTCTGCTCTCCCTCAACGCCCTTCCCCTCCTCCTCCTTGCCAGGGTGAGCGCTACTTCCGATTGGAAGACGTGCAGGACATCGGCGACACGGTGTACCCCTTCGGGCCGGACCTGCTGCAGAGAGATGACTCCAGGTGGGTCGTGTGTGAGGAGGGAAGGAAGAGGGGGGGGGGTAACGCACCACCCGGATGAGTTGGGGGGGTGGGCTGTTGTTGGGCAAGCACACACAGTAAGGCGCGCGCGTATGTGTGTGTGTATTTGTATGTGCATGCGTATGTGTATATGCGTGTGCGTACCTAGTACATACCTTGCCCAGGCCTGACACTGGCCAGGGGCTGCTGCCCTGTGTGTGTATGTGTATGTGTGTATGTGCTTATGGGCGGGGGGCGGGGGGACGTTAATCCCGCACCCCTGAACTGCTGCATTTCGCAAAAGAGCTTCTTACTACCGCTCTTTCATACACATATATATATATACATATATATGGGAGGGGCTGGATTCAGAGAGAGAGAGTGTGTGTGTGTGTGTGTGTGTATACAAGAACCTAACCTGTACAAAGCCTCCCCCAAAAACAAATGTACACATCTTTACTCTTCAGACGTTGTACCCGCTAAAACTGCGTTCGTTATGACCATACTAAAACCCGTCATGAAACCCAAGGGCAAGCCATACACTGGTTCTCAACGGCGGCGCTGGCGAAGGCGACGGCGACGGCGACGACGAGGAGGCTGACGCAGCGCCGAGTCGCTGGGCGGAGGCCGACGGCGCCGACGACGCCAACGACATGCAAAGCCTGGATGACGAAATGTTGTACAGCAATATGTTGCTGGAGACGGCATCGCGGGACATCATTCGAGGGAACGGAAAGTGAGTGAGCACGAAAGCGAGCGCCGCCACGGCACCTGCAAGGAGCAGAGCGCGGAGGTTTTGTGGGCATCGTGGCGGGCCTTCCCCCTCTGTGTCTAGGACGGGGGGGCCGGCGCGGGGGGCTGTCGCGACGGGACACAGCGTCCAAGAGGGACTAGGAGGGATAATGGAGGGATGGTGCTGCGCGTTGGAAGCTAGGGCTCCACACGGGGCTGTGTGTTGACAGAAAGGCTCTATGTTGTTTCAGATGTAGTAGTAGCCTAAACAGACTGTAGATGCAGTAGTAGCCTAAACAGACTGTAGATGTAGTAGTAGCCTAAACAGACTGTAGATGTAGTAGTAGCCTAAACAGACTGTAGATGTAGTAGTAGCCTAAACAGACTGTAGATGTAGTAGTAGCCTAAACAGACTGTAGATGTAGTAGTAGCCTAAACAGACTGTTTCGCAAAACATCTTGCATAGAGAGTACAAGGCTAGCGGTTACCGTGTGTATTCGACATGTTTTGTCGTACAGGGAGGGTAAGTACGGCGGATCCATCGGCGGCGGCGCCGGCGGCGGTCACGGCGGCGGCAGCGACGGCGACGATCGAGGGGGTGACAGCAGCCGCGGCGGCGGCGACGACGGCAGCGACGTGGGCGACGACGATGACGGGTCCCGGTCCAACGTCTCCAGCTCCCAATCCGGACAGCAGCCTGGGCAAACCGCCTCCGCCGGCGTCGCTTCGAGCAGCGCCCAGGCGGATTTCCGGCGCGGCAAGCGCTGCAGAAAGCTGCTCAAGATGCTGTCGACACCGGCCGTACAGCGCGCGACGTTGGCATTCCGATGGCAGGCGCTGCTGGCCATTGCGGTCCAGCTCCTGGCGAACTTGGCGTGTTTTGTGTTGCTGACGGTGCTGTTGATACGGCAGACCCGCGGTCTGTCGGAGCTGAACAATGTGGGGCAGGCACTGGTTTCCTGTCACGATGCGATGCTGACGCTACAGGTAAGCAAGCACATGGGTGCACGTGCGTCTACTACGTTTGTGTTTGTGTGTTTTTGTTTGGAGTTATTGGGTGTGTGGGTTCATTGAGCTCCTGCTCTCCCCCCTGGACCCGCACCGGCTGCACAGCTGTTGCTTAGGTAGCGAAAAGACGGTGCCTAGAATGTAGGTAAGGTAGCAGCATGTGTGCGCGTATGTATGTGAGCTTTGTAAAGTCCAATAATGAAACGATGGGAAAAGGAGGCACAGGTCATTAGGAGGTCAGGAATGTGTCTGTGGGTGTATCCGTATCTGTCTGAATGCATATGTAGGTGTATGCATGTACGTGGGCGTGTATGTATGTACGTATGTATGTGTGTACTTTTTTGTGTGCATGTGTATGTGTGTGTGAAGTTTACAAGTATTTGATCGGGCCTGACACTGGCCAGGGGCTGCTTCCCAGCCCCAACGGAAAGACCGCCTAAGCTCTGTGTATGTGTGTATGTGTTTAGTAAGTATGTGTATGTTGTGTATATGTGTATGTATGTATGTATGTATGTATGTATGTATGTATGTATGTATGTATGTATGTATGTATGTATGTATGTATGTATGTATGTATGTATGTATGTATGTATGTATGTATGTATGTATGTATGTATGTATGTATGTATGTATGTATGACGTTGATTACACTGTGGGCTGAAAAGCCGGGGGCCCAGGGCCGAAGCACAGCGCGGGGGGCGGGTGCATACGGCTGGTTAGTCTCATGCACTCCGCCCCCGGGTCAGGCCGCACGGGAAACGACGGCCGGCACGCAACAGCGCTTGTTTGGCGCTCCAACTAGACGGGATCTATGCCCGTTGGTCTCCTAACATAAACGAAGTCGCAACTGGGGGGCTCTTCCTGCCGACCGAACGAACCGAGCATCTCAGAGAGCTCGCTACCAGGACTTGGGCGACCGGGAGCCCTGCCTCGCCGGTATTGGGGAGCAACGGGTTACCCCACAACGCGGTTGCCCAGCACCACGGTCCGGGGGACAAGGGGCTGGTCTCGATATCCCGGAGCGGTGGTAGGTGTCCCAGGGCGCCCACAATCCGGCTGATATCCGTGGGTAGGTCGCTTCCGCCGAGCCGGGGCCCGGCTTGGCTGGCGGTCGTCAGGGCCCACGCGTTGGAAGGCGGGGTGGGTGAG